TCTAACGTTCAAAATAGACATTGACCACTTCATTAATATTTATGCCGTACAACTCAACTGATTACAGTAAATGCCCAAATTACCAGGATAGCATCTTCTAATAACATTCTTTATTTTAAAGCAATATCACTTTTCGGGTAAAATTACAACGTGCTGATGATGCTAAAATTCTTTAGCAATCTTTCATGATAAATTCAACCATTCATCATAATGTTGTATACAGTTCGATTAACGTGAGCGTCCGTATTAGGATCGAAAATTTTAGAATAGAGAAAAAAATTTCACTTGATTACAATAGCTTTGTCGTGATCAAGAAGTTAAAGTGATGCTACTGTTTAGTCTGGACCTTGATCAAGGCACAAATCTAATATAGTCGAATGTAATTATTTATTATGATTATGGTAGTTACGCGTAGTACTGTAACTGCTATAGCAATTGTCGATATTAGCTTTAATGACAATCTTTGAGTTTATTTACTTTTGTAACGGATAATTAATTTTTTTCATTGAATTTATTTCCCACAATTGCTTGTATTTGATCAAATAGACTATCCAATAATTATAAGCAAAGGAAGCGAATGATAATTTAATGGATTGTTCTTTTTCTATTTTTCTATTTTAAAAGCAAATAATAGCTAATTATGTAAGACTCTTGTTATAGCTGGAGGTAAAATTTTTCAATGCTTTTCGTTACAATAGCTATTTTATTAGCATTGCATTCTGTTATACGTAGATTTATGTTTATTTCTTATTTAATACTTTGACATTATTTTTTCCTTAAGAACAATGGGATTATATGCCCTTGGACTTAAGAATGTCTTTAGTAGCGAATAATTGTGATAGAATAATTGAGCATCAGGCGCACTGTTGGATAGAATAGTGCACGCTTACTCTATAGGTGAAGGTGAATGATCAAATATTATACTATACGAGTATTATAATTATAGGAGAAGGTATAAGAACTATCAGAATAGAGGGGAAAAAAATAATGCTTACAAATAATCTACTTCTGCATTTGCTATTAGTTCTTCGATATCCTACATTAGTTTATAATATATAGTTGAAAGTGATTTTTTTTATTATATAGCATTGAAGAATATTAGGTCCAGTGCCAGTTCAGGCAATTCGCGAAAGAGCAACAGCATATTCTAACAAAGTATCCAGTTATTTGATAGTTTCAATCTCATTTAGTTAGAATAAACATAATAATGCAGCGCATCGAATTTTGGACGATAGTATCTTCCTATAGAATCGTAAGTTAATAACTGAAGGATATAAGTATTGCATGCAATCACACTTCTTCTGTGTCTATTTCAGCCCATTAGACCACTAACTTTATTTACCCATTTATCTCGTGCAATGTCCATATAGTATAATTCTAATGAATATCTTATTGACTTTCCCACATGACATGCTCGTTAACTATAATATATTATTTAATTTGAATGAAACGTGAAAGAAGGTAATACACTAACTATTGAAACTGCCGTAATAACATCCAAAATTTTTGCAGAATTACTTCCGCTGTTTTGTAAAAGTTTTGCTCTCTGTATACCAATGCATAGGTGAGCGATTTAAAAAGTGTGAAATAACCCAATTATATCTTAGTGAAGACTTCCTTGAATTATGCAGATCATGTAATGTATGTCAACTGATTCATTAAATTTTTTTGCAACGTAATAGGTGGCGTGATATGAATATGCTACAAAACTGCCATATAATCCTATTCTAATGATATATATAATCAACAAGTAAATTATTAGTTCAAATAATGTATTAAAAATCATACGCAGTAGATCTGAAATATACTGTGCAGTCTGTGGGTGTTTCCTTAGCCCTTCTCATATTTGTTTTACAGCAAGATCCCGTGCATTATCATACAAATGCTTTCACCAATTCTGAATACTATATAGTAGCTAAACAATGTCGTCCAAAGCCATTGAATTTTTTCTCCTCCCACCATATTTTTATTGATATTTGGATTATATTACTCTGTTACAAGTGCTTAGGTTAATTAAAAAAGTGATTTATTTAAAAATTACTTTCTGAACAGCGACCAATCTTGCTGGAACAGCTTTGAAAAAGAAATGCCTACAGCTTTAGTTTTAAACTATTTAATAGCAAAATTTAAACCATGATTTAATATAACGCCATTTTCCTACAGATGATAGCTACAGACTATTTCTGTAATTTTCCGTATATCGTTAATATCTTAGTACGAAATGTAGCGAGTCATCCAGAGATCCTAGGCTACTCTTACGTGCTAGTTCTAACTTATGATATGCGATGGACCTCTACAATAGATATCGTATAGTCCATGGCTATATTCATGGAAGTTTATAGAAACGCTAAATAATTTTTGTCAATTGTATATTACTAGCCTAATAATATATTCTATAATTTGTGATAAGTAAAAAGAAAACGATGAGTAAATTACGCCCGTATACCCTCCTTAAGGATAAGGAATAAAAATTTCTCGCGTTATTCACTCGCGTTTATTTACCATTTCTGCGATACAACAGCAAAAAGTCAATGAAGATAGATTTGTAAATATTATATTTATCGGAGTCCGTTAATAGACGCCGGAATATTTTATTTTATACGTATACATACTGTAGAACTGTATAGGTATATGCTTATGCTGACTATTGTATAGCTTGAGAATAACGTAGCCAACACAAGTAATCTATAGAATACTCCCTATTGCCTCCTTCATACACCGAATTGGAACGCCTTTATTATAGCTATAGTACTTTAATAGATGCAGAATACTCCTCTATTGCTTCTTTTGTAAGATGAATTAAAACCATATTTGCTTGCTATAGCTATTTTAATGATTACGGTAAGAGGAATACTAGACTACCTCACGTTTTTCAAGTAAGCACCGCAATGCCGTTAGTGGTAGCCACCTACAGAACTGGCGTGGGATAATTATGTACTACCAACAGATTGCTCGAGATTGAAAAGTTATAACGTCGCAAATTTAACAATACTACTAAATACTAGTAGTCTACTCGTAGCTTTCCGTTCAGATGTCTTAAATTGTCATATGATGTCAGCTAGCAAGCTATTTACTAATTACGTGATTCATAAATCTATAAAGGGGGGGTGGGGTGCAGTAGCTAGACCTACTAATATTGTTGTATTGACTCTTGCGCTATTAAATATTTTATTTCTCCTCCATTAATTGATTAATAAATGGGATTTGTATTCTATAGATTACGGTATACGAGTAGAATAGACTTAAATACATATAATCCATTATCTAAGGAAATGATTTCGACTGAAATACTGTATCTAAGACCATTTCCGATTGCATACACGTATTGTTAATATTGCTTAACCTTAACTACAGTACTAATTATTAAATTAATGCAGTAATTTATAAGAAAATTTCTATTTCTTGCTGATCTTCATGGTATGAAACCATCATTACAGTTTACGATTACATCACAGTTTAAAAATAAAGTATCCGCTATCAAATAACTTTTATTTTATGGGCATGTCCTCAAAAACTCTGCAAATAGATTAAGTCGAGTTTTCATATAATAGGCTTTATAACATTATATAACTGTATGTCTGAACCCTATGATGTACTTTCTTATACTGTACTCATATCTTCGGTATACTCTATTAATTATAGAATTAAGTTGCTCGCATTTTCAATTACTTGATAGAGTACGTTCTATGATTGTTTCGATTTTCTTTCTTAAGTACGCTGCCTAGTATATTAATAAGCATCACTTGCTACTACATTTTAACGGTAATGCCATTAATATCTCACCACATTTGTGTTTAAATCAAGCATATAAAACAAAGACATGTATCAAAATACTGATGTGTTATTTTGTTTCATACAGGTTGAAATTAGGTAGCCCAGACTAAATCATTCACGGTATGAATACTTCAAATAACTTATGTAATCCTGTTACAATCTAAATCTAGATAGGGCAAAAAGCGAAGTAACTTATTACCGATGTAATACAATTATCGATAAGTAAATAGTAAGTTAAGACTAATAGCATAAGAAGTTGGTCAATCAATCATTACTGTATCCAATATTTGTTTTCCACCGTTGCAGCATTATCATGCAAAGTCGTTCCGTTATAAGGAAAAATAGATAGAAGGCAACTACGAAATAGCAATTGTATAGCCTCACCTCTTAATCAAATATAGCGTATTCACGATCTCTATTAATACTGATCTGAGCTAATCATAGGTAATATTAATATCTTATCAATACAAAGTACAGGTACACGGAAAAATAGATTTTTAATCAGTCTACGTATGCATCGCTTAAGAAATTGTTACGCCAATAATAAGGTGTACAACAAAAACAAGAGCATACAAGAAAGAGATACAGTTCAGAAATATGAGAATATACTTATAAAATCATATTTAGTGTGCATCGGCAGTACAAAATATGCAGAACAATAAAGATCGAAAACACTTGACTTGTTAGGAACTATATCTATTTCCAAGTTGTATTTAAACCATTTATACTTGTAATCTGGTAGAAAAAACGAATATACCACACGTATACTGATAAATTTATTGCGTACGTGGTAATAAATGATTATTAACTAATTTTAGATAAAGGATCTAATATTAACTAGTGCTTGATATTTTATACATTTTATGAACTCTATCGAAATGATTTAACAAGTCCTTAAAGTCAGTTTCAGGTAGAGACTCTCTCGTTATTGTTTTAGTCTTTCTTTCTTCCCTACTTATTTAGGATCATAAATTAGTGATATCGAAAGGTGCATCTTGATAATAAAATTCTATCGTTAATACAATACTTGATCTCAAGAAAAGCTAAAAAACGTTACATGAAGACTTAAGTACAGAAAGTTAGCTAACGAATAAATGGCAAATGAGATATAAACATCTACCACGTAATACAACGACTTATTCCTTCACTGATTATCATGATTACTACTATGCCGTTCGAAAAGTAAAGCTTCTAAATTAGTAGAATTAGTGCAGATCTTCTTGAAGTTAATTAACTGGTAAAATACAACCTAGTTTAATCACTGTGGTTCTATACCTGCTCTGATATCGCAACGATGAGTGTAGTACCGGAACACATTCTAAACGCTGCCTCAAAGTGGTGAAAGCGGTAACTTGTGGTAGCAACATTAATAAACCATATAAAGCCTTGACTAAGTAATAGTTATCTTCTATTTCCAATAGTTGCAAACGTAGATCTACAAGATTTCAAATAGCATGTTATCGTAATATTTTAATATTCAATTTCAATTACCAAAATTCCTCAAAATTAGAATTCCGAAGGAAGAGTGCCTCAACTACTTAAAGATCAATCATCATGTAGGGTTGAATATAACATCTACTCGTAGTTAATTCATATGATATGTAATCAAAACTGACATGTGAAACCTGGAGATTCCAATAATTGAACCAGTCGGTCGATTTCAGCCAAAAATTCAACATTTATGTCAAAGTTACCACTAGAAATAATGTTGGTTAAGGAATCAGGTGAAATAAATATGATTACATTCGAGAATAATAGAATGTCCACAATACTTTGCAAAATCACTGCCTATTTGAAGCGTATGAACTATGAACTCTACTGTATTATGAAGACTGCACTTTAAGTATGAATTCAATGAATATATTTTAGTAAACGTTAGAAATTTTATATTTTAGGTAGTGGATACAACATTTCTATAAGATCGAAAGCATGTTTGTAAGTTTGAGTTAGGAAACATAAAGAAACGGTAGCCACAGGATTATGACACCACGAGTAATACAGACAACGGAACAAGTTATAACTTTCCTATTGTATGAATGTAATAAAAATAAAGATCGAATATTTAAAATGTGAGAAGCAAAATTGTAAAAAAGATAAAAATTAGTAATACTTGAAGCTGTATTAATCGTTTACCTCGTCTCTCAGGGCGTTCAATTTCTGTCTTAGGCTGCAAAGTTCATGAGCAGTCATTAAGATTGTATTCAACATTCTAACCATCAATACTGTAAATTTTGTGTTATCTGCATCTAAGAGAGTCCTTGCAAAAGCCATGTAGACGTCTTCTGCGTTCAATAAACTACATAGCTGCCTGTAATATATTTTATTTATACAAATTTAAATAGTTAATGTTAGCCTAATATTTTCTATATTCATGTCATACCGGATAATGACCGAACCACGATCCTTTATAAACTGTTCATCGTGCTGAAATTCGTTAGTCAGTTCTGCTATGAATTTCATAAAATAGTCGTCTTTTTTATCTTTCAAATTTTTAAACAATGATCTTGAAGTTTCGAGATCACCAGAGGCCTCTTCGGTATTCTCATCTGTAAGGAGTGAGAGAAACATCTTTATTTGGAGCTAGGCAGAATCTTATACGATGATTACTTAATTTGATAACGATAACACTATCCTTATATAAAAGTTGATGACATAAATTGTTCATTCTGTCGAGTATACGAGTCTTACGATTCATATAATGTTAAGTTTTACTACCTTGTGAATACTTAGATGGCGTTGATAACTTCGCTAATACTTTCAAATTTAGAAAGACAACCTGAAAATTAATTGCAATTTCAATATAATATTTTCAATACAGATCATAAGTATTTGACGTTTCACCTCGTCCGATTTGTCTTTAAGGGTTTCCATTAAAACTAATCGCAAAGAATCCATCCGATCTGCCATCTAATACAGTGATACATAAAAATTATACGATCTTTATGCATTATAACAAGAAGAACTAATAATTGTCAAAGAAAGTAATATCTGCTATGTCTATTTGGCATCAATGGAATTAATATTTTTGCAATAACAACTACCTCGTCTTCTAGGTTAATACTAAGTAAATAAATCCACTCTAAGCTTGCGAGCTTTGTTCGTATTGCAACATTAGAAAGCATCCGGATAAGGACATTTAAAACTGTATTAGCATGTAAAAAGCCATCCGGTAATGGTAGTGATACAACAGCGGTTGCAGTAACATCGACATTTCCGGCCGATTTTTCTTTCCGTTTATATCTTTGTTGTACAAGTTCCATAAGATTATTATTAATATCAATAGCAGCAGCTCGGATTCGTGAGGCAGTTAAGAAAATGTGGAGATCTAGACTTAAAATCAGTCACTGGCTATTGATTGTATTAATATGCTATCGAGAAAAGTGTCCCAGTACAATACCAATTCAATTACATTACATAATATCAAAAAATTCATTTAGTATTGTCACATTGACCAATACAGATGTTATTAACCGAACGACAGTATCTACAGTATTAAAAAAGTACAAAAGGATATTTTGATTAATTCCGCTGTCTTCATAGGCCAAAAGTGGTAAAATTGCAACCAATATATCTGCACAATGCGCAAGCATAGACAAACCATCAATATTTACAAACTCTTGTAGCCATACGATTGCAGTCAGTTGCGTTACGTCGTCTAAAGTCAAGTTAAAAAATAAATGATATCTACTATTAATTTAGTAATATGTAATGTCGAAGTGATGATCGACATTATCATCATAAAATTTATCTATTAATTTAATAATTGCTGATCTGGCGGGTAAAGCTCGTACATTTAAAGCTTACCAGAAGATATACAATGAGCCATTAAGACATGAACTAAATCGGAATATTTTACAGTAGCAGCTACACCAGAAAAGCTTCTTTGGCTGATTTCTTTCAAAAATTCTCCTAAAATTGTTGCACACCTACAGAATTTTGTTTCAGCGAATATATTTATTCACAGAACAAATAGTATAATATTAATTTTTTTTAGCACTTCCTTGAGAGAATCATTTTTAGTAATGATATTAAAATTTTCTCTTACATTTTGCGTAATTCATCGCCACTATCCCCTAAAATTATAAATAACCCATCTAAAAACTCGGGTAAATAAGCTAGTAGGTCGAACTTCGGAATGCTTTGCAGTACAGAGATCTATTAGCATAGTAGTTTACATATTAAATGAGTAAATTGGTCTAATTGTAAAAATGGAATTGACTTGAAATCAACTATTCCTCAGTAAATAGGTATCAGCTGTTATTAAGTAATTCATACAGGAATTTTGTAAATGTGGTTATCTAATAGTTACCCAAGAAACAACAAATTGCCTAGCGTAAGGATTTTTGGTATAGATTCGATCTCTTAAGAGCGGTATAAATGTGACAACATTTACAGGAGTAGATTTTTCAGTCACAATGTCCTAAATTAAATAGATTTATTTATTAATGCAACATTAAAACTATTTATACCAAGAAGACTAGTTGGGTTTTTTGCTCATTACTACTATAGTTTGAATTCTCAATTGTAATTTACTAACTTTCATTAGCCTATCCAGCAACTGAGCTCCTGTCCTGACACTTGCATCTCCTATTAACTAAAGAAATAAAAATAGTGAGATTGAATGCGAGCTACCCAGCTTTGAATACACATTGATTTTCAAAGTATGATCTTGCACGTAGCTGCATGAAGTAATGCAATGTTAAAATATTATTTGCTATTAGCGTAATAGTGCTGAAAGCATACCTTACTAAGACCTTTGAAAACATCATTCAGATACATTAAAATATCGTCACGAATAACCTTTGCAATATTGTACATCGCTTCGCAAGCAAAAAATCGAGTTTCCTTATCACTATCGTCGAAACATCTTAGAATAACGGGAATAACATCTTTCATGTATTGATTAGCTTCCTAAAAATTACATTGGTCGTTAGTATTAGAAGTCAAAAACATATTTATTTATTAAAAATGTTGTCCCGGTAGTCTGTAAAAAGCTAACGACGATATAGCATGAAGCTGCATACAGATATCTTTTCTTAATCTCATAATGATATTGAAACGAGCTAGTGAGAATAGCGCAAGTGATGGCTAAAAAAATATAAAGTTCTTTTCAAGAGAGGGCTGATATAGTCAAGTAAACCTGACCATGAATATTTAATTGGTTATGCCAGCTTGAATACATCAATTAATGTTAGAAATTTTTTTTGCTTAATCTAATTAGTTTACCTCGAAAGCTAAATTTACTAGATATCATACCTTTCCTATCCCGGTTACAATAGCAGCTAGAGCAATAACACCACCTCGGCAGCTGTTGGGATTGATATGCGAAAGTACGTAATCATGTATAATTTGACGGATTAATTGAATGACTTGTTGATGCTCATTTTGCTTATGCAAGTCGCGGACGATCCTGTAAAGAGTAAAGAGTAAAGATAACCATTCAAAATATCATTTGGATATGAAAAGTGACGGGCTAGCCTACAATTGGATGCGAGATTTAGAATATTAAAAATGTTTATTGAATTACGGTAGCGTTATCATAAAGTGACATCATGCTTTTACTGTACTCGTACACAGCTAGTGTTATGCTAACATGACATTAAATAATAGTGATCATAAAGAAAGTTTAGCTATAGACTAAAGTATCATCTAGCCAAGTTGAGGAATTTTCTAGATAGTTGAGAAAGCAATTAGAGATCCACTTGTAGAGTTGGTAAATTACACATAATAATAATAGTAGCACTCGTATAACTAGGAGTTCATCTTTGCTAGTAGCTAGTGTATTCAGATAGCTGATAATTATAACTGAATTAAATCTACAATGAGTTGGCCGAGTTACACTATTAAATGATGAAGTTAGTATTAATACTGTACTGTACAGTACAATTGATCAAGCACGTAAGATTAAATTATGGCTCTCAGAGGTTAATGTAGTCCGGTTGATGACTACTGTAAGTCAAGCAAGAATGCTTAACACGGGAATGATTTCTTTCAGTACAGTTCTAAGTAACAGCAGAGTTAACATTAGCTTAATTGATCAAAGTAATGGAATCATTGGTGACATAGCAACATCTACAAGTAGTGAAAGTGAGGCCGTATTGATCCGGATCGACTATGGTTCAGATTTTGTATTTCAAACAGATCGTTGACAGATAATCTACTCGAACAGTTGCTTACAGTATAGTATTGTGCTTAAGTCTACAACTCCTGAAATTCAGCAATCTGAGAACGGCAATTAGTTCCCAGTATTTGGCCGTAATCGAAAAGATAGACAATGAAATAGTTATGGAATTACAGTACATTTACTACTGAGCTTCACTAAGGTACGTTTGCAAAGTTGACACTGAATATGCATTGAATGCGCCAGGTCAACTGTGATTCAGATTTTTGAGGTTTCGTATTTCTTAATTAACTTATAATTAATTTGATAATGAATCTACCTGGCTAAGTCTATAAGTCATGAACTTTAGCGTTAATTTCGCTAATCTAAAGAACAGCAATTCTCAGCATTTGAGCGTAATCGAAATGACTAACAGTGAAAAAGTCATAGGATTAAATTTGCTAGTGAACTGTATTAGGATACGTTTGCAACTGAGGAATTGAACATGAATAATAAGCCGGATCGACCGTGGTCTAGATTTTAAGATTTCACGTTTCATAACTTATAATTTGAAAATGAATCTACTGGGCTAAGTCTATAAGCCATGAAATTCAGTAACCTGAGAATAATAACTGCTTCTCAGTATTTGACTGAATCGAAATGACAGGCAGTGATAAAGTAATGTAGTTAAATTTCCTTTTAAACTTTACTAAGATACGATGACATCGAAGAAACATTGAATGAGTCAGATCAACTGTGGTTTGCATTTTTGAGATTTCACGTTTCATAACTGATAATTTAACAATAAATCTACTGGGCTGAAGTCAACAAGTCGTAAAATTTAGCATTAAGTTAGCTAAGATGAGAATAGCAATTACTTTTCAACGTTTGCCTTTAATCGAATGACTGACAGCGAAGAAGTCTTGAAATTAAATTTGTCAGTGAACTTCACTGAGAATCTGAGATACATTTGCAGCAAAGGACATTGAACATGAGTTGATCGATCTAGTTCGACTGCGGATCAGATTTTATGAGATTTCATGACTGATAATTATAATTGGACGAAGAATCTACTGGGTTAAGCTCTGTAAGTCATAAAATTTAGTATCAAGTTAGCTAATACGAGAATTGCAATTAACCTCTCAGCATTATACTCGAATTAGTTATATCATAACTCTGCAACTACACATTGACACCATAAATGTAAGCGTCCATTTTAATGACGTTATTATCTACTACAAATGAACTTCACTGAGTTACTGTATACAGTTCGTTATGCTATGACTGCACAATTGCACATGAATTACATTAATGTCGATTTTAATAACATTATTTTTCACTACAGATGAACTTGACTGAGTATCTGCGATACGCTTGTAACCGAGGATATTGAAAATGAGTTGATCGACTATGATTCAGATTGATGAGTTTTCATGGCTGATAATTGATTCTAATTGAACGAAGAATCTACTCAGTGAAGTCTAAAAGTCATAAAATTTAATATTAAGCTAGCTAGTATAAGAACAGCGATCATTTCTCAGCATTTGACTTTAATGACTAACAGTGAAAAATTCTTAGAATCCAATTTGCTAGTGAAATTCACTGATACACTAGCAACCGAGGACGACAATAGCGTTGATGAATTAATTTTAAGCAGAGACCGTGCTACGTGTTCAACAGCAAGGTAAATTGCGTTGATTTATTCACTAAGAGAGTATCATGCTTGAATTCTTAGGATTTCAATCTTTTATACGACACGTATACTGTAAGATTGACCTACCTTTCAATTTCCAAAGCAGCAGCTTTTCGTTTCTCATAGAATTTGTCGTTTAGACCCCGTGCAGCATTAGGGGCAATGGTCATTAAATCTTTGTTGGGCATTTCAATGAAGTTCGTATCAATCAAAACATAGGAAACTTTACAGCGTAATAATACGGTAGGTCGATGTTTACTCTCGTGTTTGCAAAGAATATCCTTGGATCCTATTCTATTTTCGCTTCGTATAGATTCAAGGATGGCAGTCAATGAAATCAGACGAGACTTTTTAACTTTTTACTTCCAATTAAGGTCCAAACCTAACTTGATCAGCTATCGAATGTTGCGTTTCCGATGCCCCAGTTGAAAATGTCGGAAGATCCACTAGAAATCGTGCACTGTATGGAACCCAACTAAAGGAGTCCGGGCGGGCGTTATCCGAAGATAAGTCCGAAATACTAGATCGACCTTGAATACCACCCCCGCGAACACCTTCCTTTATACTGTACAGTACGGACTGAAGACCTGAATACTATATACTGTAGGAGTGCTTGACATGAAAACAGCCGTAGCCACAGATGGCAAGTGCGTACAGACGAATGGAGGACTGCTTTCCTATTGCATACTGCATAGTAGTACAGCAGATTTTCTGTTTGGCAAGGCCATCAAATGACTGGATTTTCCTTGCATAGTATAGAATCACTTATTTTCCCTATCATCTTGCATTGAAGAACCTTATTAAGCATTATGAACGATAATCTAATGTATTACATCTTCAAATTGGAATTGAGCTGTACAGCTTTTAATAATTACTATTATGATCAATTAAGTAGCGGATACAACCATTGACAAGACACTATGAAAGTAAGAGTTTTGAACAAAATAATTGAAATAGGAAAACGATACTTTGAATGAGATTAATCAGTTAAAATCCTTTCACGTCCGTTAAATTATATATTATTTCGTACGTATAGAACATTCACAAATAATATGATACCAGGAACTACTCGAGTACTCCTTGATAATACTTGTACAATGTACATACGAGGACTTTTTCAATTGTTAAACTCTTCTACTTTCCTGGGTGTTAGAAGTACAAAATTACGTCATCAATGGAGAATTCATTTGTGTAGGGGTATCTGTCTGTCATATTAGCTAAGGCTTGCTGATTAGCGATTAAATTCTATCTACTAAGAAGCTCTACTGTAAATGAAATAAATAATTGAAGTTAACTAAATAAAGTCCTGATGTATTGCAACTGTAATTCTTCAGCATATATGCTAAATTCCTTGTAAAGATTATTACATTCTAACTATCATCTATATGTAATTATAATTCGCTGATATATTTACTTACTTTATTGACTCAATGTTGCCATTGTTACTCTATTGAATGAAATGATATTTTAAATAATTAATGTAAGGTTATACTATACTCTGAGATTTCAGACCTACTAAATAATATATGTCAAGCGCGGCGTATAGTCTCAATATTTATTAATTAATTAATTACTCGTAAGGTTATGTCTCGTATATGAATGGTATTTACGTGAATTACTAGTTTATAGCCTATCATTTTTATTTGCTGTTACATAGGTCAATTATTAATCGCAAGAAATTTTTTAAGTTACAGCCAAGATCACGTAGATAATTTTCTGGTCAAAATATACAATACTAACTATCTTATGCTAGATATCTGCCGAACTCATTATGAATTTAAGTGCTGTTGCTTATCATCCCGCCTAACCGTCGATAAATTTGGTCACATCAGTAGAGTTCAGGGTTGGGTTTGTAGACTAATAAATTTATGAGCTGAGCTTCATGACTATAAGTATGACTTCATATTGGATAACCAATTGCTGACATTGTGATGTTCATTGAAAGTTGATTATATCACAAGAACATAGTAAAGATATTGATGAATTTCTTTCGAAATTTTCATTCGTCTACACAAAAATGATTCTCACCGAATAAATTACTTATAGTCATTCAGGTTTATCTCAGTAATAGTCAGTAGCTGATTAATTCAGAATGTAAACAGTCTGATAGCCTTATTTTTGTATATTTTATTAATGGAATATCGAGGGAAATGTTACCGTATCCTCCACTCCAGCTTTAAATTACAGTAACTTAGTTATAAAGCGTCGTATCCGTTGAGTGCGAATTGAAAATCTTCAAGAAATTTTTATAAATTTTAGATAAGTAACGACTTGCGCCTGTATATTTAGTTATAGTGGCAACTGCAAATGAAAATTGTAGAGTATTATCTAAAATTTAATAAAATTATTAAGCTAAAAATTGTATGACGTTGTTCAATCATTATTATGTCATGATAAATGTAAGCAATAAGTATAGTGGAATAAGGCGTAGCTACAGCTACAGCTCTCACCGCAACACAATACCACTGCCATAGGTATACATACGTATATATATATATATATATATATATATATATGTTATAGATATGATAGAACAAATAAGAATATAAATATGTATAGCAACATAATCTAAAAATTAGATTAATTAATATTCAAATAGCGAGTAGAACAGATATTTAACTTAATTTCGTATCTTATTATTTTTTACTTATATCTATTTGCGCATAGTAGCTGTCGATTCAAATTTAAACGAAATTAGGTATAAATTCTATTAAAAATGGTTAAGATAGAAATAATCAGCATAACGCTCCTATAGAGCTAAATGATACTTTGCTAATAAAAATTAGACGTTTAATAGCTAACTTTAATCATCAAATCAAATCATTCAAGACACTATAGCTGAGTAGTCGGATAAAATTGTTATTTCTTATCATCAGTATAAAGTTAAAGTACCTTATCACTAATGATTTCCTTGCTTATTGCTGACAAATTATTAATATAAGCTATTGCGTGATGATTTTGTCGTAATTTGGCTAGAGTATAAATAAAATTAAAGATCATGGTTGTCCTTATTGATTATAAGAGTAAGAACTTGTTAGTGAATATATTGGATACAATAGTATCATTTAAATCTCTATAGATAAGTAAAAGAAAGGAAGAGTATTACTGAATACTAAATGAAGATAAATTCTATCTGTTATATTCATAAGGACATCTTTAAGTCTTATTAAATGTGCAATTTATATATGAAATCCGATAAGGAAAATATTTTACTTCTTAATTTTATAAATTGATTTGATATCATTACTTTGTTATTAAAATATTACAAATATTTATCATATCATTTCGTTAAAACTATTCTGTAGATATGGAGATTGAAAGTTGATGAAAATTTAGCTATTTAAATTTTCTTGGGGTAGTGACCGAACAGCTTTGCTTTTTACCTTGACTGATGGTAATCGTGTAGGTCTAGGTGATGCTTCTGATGAGCGAGGTAGACTAGAATTTTTACTTAAATTAGGCTTTCTAAATGCAGTTTCATCGCTAGCTGATGCTGAATTGATAGGCTTTCTCTTTTTCTTTCTCCTAGGACTTCCATTGCTTTGTGCTGGGCTATTAATCCTATCATTTACTAAGGAAATTGGATTAGTTATTGATGATGACGCCGATGATATCTCTCGACCTGGTTTTCGTAACTTTGTTTTTGTCGATATCGAATGGTTCGAAGATTCTTTACTCAACCGTGATCTGGGTGAAGATCGTGCAGATGAATTCGGTGATCGAGATTTCGAAAGTGGATATTCGCCAACAGAGTCAGGTCGAGGAGAATTTTCGGCTATTCTATTACTTTCTGCGGATTGAACTCGCGGTGAAGAATATTTTCGCGACCGAGGAGATCTTGGTGATCTTGGTGATCTAGGTGATTTCCGCCTTTGAGATTCAGACGAATGCAACGTTCTCTGCGGTTGCATATTAATAGGAGAATCAGCAGATATTGGCGTGATCCTTCCATCTTCAGTAGCTCTTGGCGACAAAGGAGGCAAAGGACGACCACGCGGCTTGTTGTGAAAAGTTTCTTCGGTATCAGGTCTTGAAGTTTGATTTAATTCTGGTACTAGTTTACTTTGTACAGACATGGAAGGAGAAATAACATTTTCGACGTCAACATAAGTGGTTCCTATTTGATCGCTATTAGCAGTAATTTCTGACACCGGTATTTCATGTAATGATTCGCCAGAGGATCCTTCTTCATGGTGAACTATACGACCATTGCTATGAGGCCTCTCCACGTGTTGCTGATTATCATTATTTACATACGTTTGAGCATCATGCGATCCTCTTAACCCATCATCATCTCTTTCTGTATGGCGGTGACCATGATGGCCATAAGATTTCAATACGTTAGAGTCATTATTCCATTTATCATTTCTATGATCTTTTAGTTGATCATTTTTTGCTTTTCTATACTGGTCTTCAGTGTTATGTTTATGTAGTAAAGGTTTAGTATCTTTATGATCTGATGCAGAATAAACATCACTCTCAGTTTGATAATCTTTTTCATCGGCTTTTCTGTCATTTATAATGTCTCCGGACGAATTATCGTACTTCGTGGATAAATGGATAGGTTCGCTCTTTTGAGAGTCGTCATCGTCGAGATTTTTAGAATCTTTAATATTTTGATGACGGAATTGTTTTCTACGAGGGGAAGACTGTTGACCTCTAATGGAGGTGCCATTTAATTTCTATTTAAAAATTACATCAAATAAGAATGTAATACTTAAAAAAAATACTATGTACGAAACTGTTAATTAATTGCGATTTAAGATAAAGTAAATATTTCACTACATAGTAATATCTTAAAATCAAATAGAAGCTTATAAGGAGTTTCCGTACAGGTTTGATGCTAGCTCTGTTTTTTATGGTATCAATTTCTTCGTGAATTGATTCTTCAAGCTGATTCCTATATTATGCGTATATGGAAATCATAAATTTAAGAAATGAGCGCAGTGTTTTGTAGCCAAAGAATATATTCATGATTGTGTCAAAACTTCGTTGTTAGGAAACTGTATTGCTTTACAAGGCTAAATTAATGTCTTGTGTAGACAAAGTTATAAGTAAAATACTTATAAAAGGTTATTGCAAGTTATCTTACCCATTGCCGCATTCTAAATCATCGGGGGAGACTTTTACCTGCAAGATAATGGCATAATTTAAAATTTTTATAGTTAGCGATAATGATAGGCTTACTACAGCCTTTTAATAATAATTCGTATAGACGTTTAGATGTAGATATTACCTACTATATTTTTAGCATGTACACAAATTGAAATACCTTTCGCCGTAAGCAACAACCTTCCTTTCGATCTTCACTTTTCGTACTATCAGTCTCTTCAGGTTCTTTAGTACGTTCTCGTTCACCAACAATATAAGCGTATGTAGTTAAACCATTAACAACTATGTGACGTTCAGATTTAGATTAGTATCATATTTACCGTGTCAGAGAGAAAAATGAAACACTTGTATTTTTACTCACTTAAATGTACATGAAAAAAGAATAGGTGGCCCACTAATCCTGAAGCCACTAGAGCTAGTAGCCCTAATATGCCTATAACAATGGGATAGGCTGCATCGGGTACGACACCAAAGATAGTGAAATTATCTATATATAAAATTGGAAGTTTTAGGAGAAAAAGGGTTTCCATAAATCATGTAAAGAGTGATAAAGATTTATTAATTATTTCTTATATGAATGCCTTTTATCAATATTATAAACTAATGTCTAATCACAATAGTTAAAATAAAAATCGCTAACGAGATCAATGTAAAATTAGTTAACAACTTTTGTTTTAAAATTTTCTATTCTTACTTCCTTTAATAGATTGGATATCAACGAAGTAGGCAATGAACTGATATAATGCTATACCAAAAATAAAAGCTGTCGACACAAATGCCGTAAAAATGCAGACGAGAAACAATCTGTAAAATGCAAAAACATCTAGATTAAGTATTGCATCCTCAATAATAGATAGAAGAGTAACTTTAATTTTATTCTCAATCTATTTACTTAAAATTTATTAATCAATTATTTATGGCATAAAAAAGTTGTAATATCTTATTAATAGCAATTTCAATCGAGTGGTACTTTGTGCATTCAACTAAAAGTGTAAGAAATCTTTTAAGCAATATAGCCTACCTGTAGTTTCTTCCCCCTACACAGTTATTCAACCATTTACAGTGATGATCAAATTGTGATACACATTTATTGCATGCGCTGCAATGTTTAGCCGATGAACTTCTAATTAGTGGACGATAAAAATAGAAAATCTTTACTTGTTAGGCAGTAATAGTGTACAACAGCAAGAGGTGCAGCGAGCGTTCCTAGAAATAGTCTCCTTTTATCGTAGAAAGTATACCGTACTAAAAATTCTGATACCAGTAACGTAAAATATTTCTCGACGGCACAATTATATAAGAAAAATTATAATATGGCAGCATAGGCTATCCAGTAGCAGAGTTTACTGCATTTATTCTACGGAACGATAAAATTTACTATAATCTACAAAACACCAATACATAACGTCGAGCACACATATACATATTATTGAAAAAGTACTTTTATGGCTTAGATCAACTTACACTTTTACTTCACAAATATAGCAATAGTTATTCTCTATGACGTGAGATTGAGTATTTCTATTAAATAAGCGAAGATTCTTTCGAGAAGATGAACTTTTCGCCCTAACATTAGGTTCTGCGGGGTCAACGACCAAACAAATAATATGAATTATAATATGAATTCCAAAGGTAACCGCAGGTATCTAAGGATTTTGGTTAAAATATTAAGGTCCACCTTTACAAATTGTTTGATATACTACTTCTATGATATAAAAAGTCTATCATTATCATTTATTTCAGTATCAAATACTAGATATTATTGAAAAATCATAAAATTTTGTAAGAATTTCGTTAAATGAGGATAGAGAACGGTGCCAACGAAAGACTTGAATTCAATACCTGGTAATAATGAAGAAGTATCTATACATTTTTTTATTCATTTAACGTACTATACAATTGTAAAATTTTTCTCCAAAGATAATGATATAGATAATAATTTAGTTTATGGTTTAAAGTCATCTACACTCTTGACAAAAAATTGCTATGCTAGTTACCACTAACATAAATCATAAAGTAAATTTAACTTTGAACGTGTTATTGATAATAACTGATATGGAATCAAATTAAGGAATAAAATACTGAGCAAAATAACACTATTTACCCAAAAGTGTCATGATATCTAGCCGAATTTCAACTCAGAGATTGCATGAGAACGTTATTTAATGTATCTTATAACATGTTGCTATTCGCAGATTGTATGTGTTTTATGGAAAAAAAGGTATTGTTAAAGTATGATCGAATCAACTCAACAGCATATGGTAGCAAACTCGTAATCAGAAGAACATGACTTAATCAAACTTAGTAAAATGGTAATAATGACGACCTTGACTTTGATGGTTATATTTCAGCACCGTAGAAAAATGTTAAATTACATAAAGTCAACAAGAACGCTATATAAGGATATTTATAAGTAATAATAGAAAATTGTTTTGACATAACTACTAAAATGATCTTTTTTTTGTACCCTTTTGACTATGTTACAGGTCATTACACGGGCGATTACAAAGAGTGAGTGTAATTCCTGATGTACCATTCTTAAGAATAGAACAATATTCAAGAAAATTTATATCGACACTACATATACTCGTACTACTTTTCTATGCTAGATTTCAGCTAATTTGTTAGCAATATAACATGACCAAGATATTTACAACAATACGGGTACCATCTTTATAAAATTGTCTAATTCTAGCGATGATATTGATAGCCGAAATCAGATAAAAGTTACCCTAATTCTTGATCAGGGGTTCATGTCTGACTATAAAGATTACTGTATATTGATAAATCGAAAAATATACTATGTTATTTTTTGCAGAATTTATGTATATTTGAAATAGACTATCTAAGTTGCTATGTTTTTGACTATAGCTTTGTAATAATGTTAAGAAAAGAGAACTCCTGCTACGAAATCATGACTTTATAAAATTTACGAAGTTATTCTATCTAATGATCGGAAACTCTCTTTTACCCATTCAGACAATACTCATTATATTTACAGTTGGGTAAGAACTTGAAATATCATCATTCAGCTTTGCACTATCTACTCCTTCGATATCAATTGGCTCAGAGTTATTTATACTGTATTACAGTAAAATTCTACAATACTCTATCGATCGTACATCCCATATAAATCAATCTATTTCTAAATATTACGACACTATCTTAAAAGAATATATAACCCTTGTACGATACATACAATTATAAATGACGCTTCAAAACTTATGCGATAAAACTATACTATCGTCAGTTGTTCCAAGTAGGTTATATCGAACGTAATAGTCACATCAACAACAGTGAAATAGAATGAAAAGACTACACGTTATAGAGATTAAAAAAAATAAATAAATAAATAAGCGATCTAAATGATATTGAAGGATACGATTATTGCTACCAATCTCCAAGTCGTAGGTATATGAAATATCATAACAGCGAAATAGAAAACGGTAAATAGCACAATTATAGTCCAGGCAATAAATTGTAACGGATGTAACGGTATCATTAAACCGTTCGTTCTTGACTTTCTTTTCTCGGCTAATGATGCCATATTATATCTGTCGTCGACGAGATTTTCAATTCTATTTTAGTTTCAGCAATAGCAATAGCGATAGGAATTTTTCACATCATGCCTTTTTTCTTATACGGTAGCATAGCAACCACTCCAAATAGGTAGGCAAAGTGAGGAGATTTGTTCTTATAGCGCAGTTTGTAATTTACTAAACTTAGATACACTACGACATCCCTCTTGAGGTACTATTACTTTACTGTAATGGCTGGCGACTGTTACCTATGCGTTCTAAATAGTAGACCCTTTGAACTGGTTAAGATTAATTTCAACTTTTTCAACGAGGCCTGTCAATTATCTAAGTCAACGGCTTCTGCTTTTCTTTACGGCACGGTACTTTTTAAAATTAACACCGTCATAGCCCGTAATAATACTGGTATAAGAAGAATTGCGCACACACACACTATATTACATATATATATATATATATATACACGTAACATATATATCTATATATATATATATATATACACGTAACATATATATCTATCTATATATATATATATATACAGTATGTGCAGTACTTTTATATCTATACTCGTTTATACGTATGTAAATAAATAGCGTGATTCTATAATGTTTGAATCAGGAGAGGAGGTTGAATGAATCTGTATAAAGATTCAATTCATGAAATGTAGGCAATTCCACGGTTTATTTTTTAATAACTACTGGCAACGCATACTGTATCCTTATGAAAGGTGAAGGAGGTCAGATCGAGAGTCTCGGATGGAAGGAAGATTGGACGCCTTGGCTATAAACACATGATTACACTCATGTACTGTACTGTACTTGTACTGTATGTACAGTACAGTATCATATCCTATTTTACAGCGAGTGTAATCCTTTATTATTACAGTAGTCCTCTAGCGTTTAGACCTCTGCATCCGTTACCATACACATCGCATTGTTCGGCTAGATCAGAACAGTTATAGTTCTAACTTGTACATGAGGTAAATTTCATTTATCTGCAAATTTCGGTCTGTAAAAAGATTTTGTATTCTATGGTTTACACTACCCATTGCCGTCGTAGCCAAATACCCACTGACTAGTGAGTTTCAGAGTTTGATTTTATCCGTTTAATATTACACCATCCATGGCTAAGATTTGTTGTCTATCGCCGTGTAATGCTCCTATGAAAAATCAATCCAATCCCTCTTGATTATAGTGTATATGATGGAACTCGAGCATTAAGTTCTGCTTCTGCATGGTGCCCCATAGCAGACTAAATTACCCGGTAATTCATTAATTAATGCATGGAGGGACCCTGTCCAAACAGTGTCAGCTGTCCATGGTCAACAACAAATTTTCCAATTTTTTTCCAAATGTCAATATGACATCCAATATGGCGTTATCGTACCACAGTGTACAGTACAGTGCAGTACAGTACGGTGTACTGTACACGTACTGTACTGTACTGTAGTTTTTTGTGTACGGTACAGTACTGTGCTACAGTCGACTGCTAGACACAACAGTAGAATATGCTACACTGTACTGTACACTGTGTACTGTACAGGTTACGTCCAAATAAATGTTCAATGTTATTCATCGGAGATCATTTCATGATGAATATTGGACAGCTAATCTACATTTGGATATGATGAATTCTGATGATTCTATTGCCAACGGTAAGAAAGTGAAATTAACTTGAGTGTTTCAATAGAACCGCCTTGAGTAGATAGCATACATCATTCAGACTGATAATGTCTTCCTAATCACATCCAAATGATGCTTCGTAGGTAAAGAACGGTGAGATAGTGGCAAGAATACTGCTTTAAAAGCAACTATCGCAGGCCATTGCGAACTGTCACTCAACTCGACTAATCTGGTGCGTATAACTAAGCTCAATTAGCTGTATTTGCGGACTGTCTATTTGTCTACATCCTACAGACGTGTACTATGATCATAGTGCTTATTTCAGCTTCAGCATATGTCTATGGAATAGTGGATTGATTCATTTTCTATGATAAGTTGCTTTACCATGCTACAGATATCATTAGTTACTGAAACCCCTAAAACCGAGGTAAGAATGCTTGTTGCCTCTTGCCTTCAGCGACACCAGCATACAATAATATAGTAGAATGATTGCCTAATTTCCTGCCCTATGTCCTAGATTATGTAGCGTATTTTCCTAGCTAATGCCTTTAATATCTATCTATTCTGTATATAAAAGAAACCCCTTAAACCGAGGTAAGAATGCTTGTTGCCCCTTGCCTTCAGCGACACCAGCATACAATAATATAGTAGAATGATTGCCTAATTTCCTGCCCTATGTCCTAGATTATGTAGCGTATTTTCCTAGCTCATGCCTTTAGTATCTATCTATTCTGTATGTAAAATGACCTTTGAGTAACATTATCCGGTATGAATGATTGTGAGTACTTTATTCCATTTTTGCAAATACGTTATTCTACACTCTGAAATGATTCCTGCAAGGTTATCGTGCATAGCACCTGTCATTCAATAGTCTTCCATTTTCCAGTCACGACTTGAATTAAAGTGTTACATTTTAATACGTAAACGCTTGTTGAGATATGTTTCATAGTTATCCACACGCTATGACTATGTGTACACACTAGTAATAGCCTTAATTACTCATGTTGTCATTGAGCTATACTTGAGTTACTGTATACAAGCATATAGTGCAAGTTTCAGAGTCCGTATGGAGGTTACCATATTGTGCAATAGAGGTGTACCTCTGAAGATATAAACATTAACTTATTTTTATCTCAACAAACTTCTAATTGAAATGTATCCATCTACTTCATTAGAATCGTAAATTATGACCAAGAAGGGAAGTAAAAAGAAGGGTCTCACTTGGAATAAATCGAAAAAGGATCAAGCGGAACAAGGTTACCTTCATTGTAAATCACGTACATAGACGCTACTGACTACTTCCAAGAGTTTCTTGTATGTAGTACAGGCGCAAGATGATAAGTTTTCTTTGCAAGCAGTTACGATTCTGATAGATAATAACAAATTTACTTTAAAATACGAATATTATTATATAGAAGATGACCTTATTAATTTTTGGCAAAGATTGCTAATGAATGTAATTTAATTTAATCAAAATTTTTCAATTGTTATACCGTATTGTAACCCTACATCTGATGTCAGTTAAGTTAATAAGCGAAGACGATGCGTAATTTATACGTTATGTTCGTACCATCTTGACAGAAACAAAATACAGTACACAGTATTTTTAGAATGAATCTGACATGCATACATCTGATTTATTTATTCTAATTAGAACATCAACGTAATAAAATCCGATTAATTAATGAAGCCTTAGAAACTGACCCGGTAGATATTCGCTCTTTAAGGCAATTTGCCCTTAGCGCTGATGGATTCGTTAATAATGAAATTCGTCGAAAAGTCTGGCCTAAGCTTATCAATGCAAACACCTGGAAATACCATGATGAAACTTCGAGTATGCTAGATTTAATGTAAAGAAATCGTCTGTTATGCGAGATTTAGCTATTACAATCTTTGCTTGATATTCTAGATGGAGAAGCCGATGTTGTTAACTTGTATAAATCTCATAAGGATTGGATGCAAGTCGTCTTAGATGTTGATCGATGTGGATCGCGTTTGCCACCAGGTACTGCTTCATTCATATATTACTGTGTGTAATACGCTTGTAGAAGATCTAACAAACGTTAATTTGAGTTTGCAATCTATAGCACATTTTACAGTCAAAAAAGTCAACTATAATTGCTATACTTTTCCACCCATTTGAACGTTGACGATAATAGCTATAAATAGCATACATAATATTATATAGTATCATAAGAATCGTAATCATGTTTATATGGTATTTATATAGAGAGTACACGATGTAGTATAGTATTCTTTAAAATCCATAGTCTTACGAGGATTCATTTACCGTTTGGCGCATTCTGTACTATAAAATAATCACTTAAAAATCAATACATTTCGTATCTTAATGTCTTTATGCCGCCTTAATATGATAGGAATTAGAGCAAGTAAACGTCGAAATCTTCAACGGCAGCTTCTAAACGTCATTATGTGTGTGATCAGCAGTAATAGTAACCTTCACTATTACCAGGTTTGTTCTACAACTGTATAATATAAAGTAGTGTTTAAATGGGCATCATCTGTGTCATATTTACAGTGCGAATTATTTGCTATATTCCTGTATGAAGGGTTTTCACGATGTATGTTTGACATTGATACTGTCGGTTGGAGAAACCGCTGCTCTTGCCCTTGCAAATAAACTCGCTAGAAATCATCTAAGGTACGACAATGATAAGTGCATAAATTAAATAATTTTAATTGAGATGTTATTCCTAATGTTCAATCAATCTTATTGGTGTAGAGATTTCATGGAAAGTGATATGATAAATACGAAAAATATCTTGGAACTGATCAATCCTATAATCATCATGGAGAATTTACAATTATTTCAAGCGCTACAAGAGTATGTATTATTATCTTTTATATTATCTCAACTCTTGCCTATGTAGATAGCTTTTTATTTAATATTTAACGTTAGAGCATTGCACGTTATTATATATGGACAGATCTAATGTTGGCAACGTGTTTGCCATCAGTTGGTTAATCACTTGGTTTGCACATGATTTTGAGGACCCTGCAATATCATATCGTCTATACGATTTCTTCTTAGCTCATCATCCGCTCATGCCAGTGTATACTGCAGCTGCGGTAAGCTCTACTACGTTTAACCTGGATAATAATCTCCATTGAAATTCTGAAATTTAAATATTTACAGATGGTATTGCGAAGAAGTGAAGAAATTCTAGAGTCGGAGCGAGATATTGGCTTCTTACATGCCTTGCTAAGAAGATTACCCCAAGATGTTCCTGTGGAAGCCCTTATAGAAGAATCGATGGCTCTTTGTCAGAAGTATTCACCGACCCAGCTAACGAAGTGGGTGAAAACTGTTAATTATCGTGGCCAGTAAGTATTACCAATTAAATACCAATTGTATAGCCATTTCATAATTGGTAGAATGGAGTTTGCTTTAAATTTATATTTGTCATGTAAGTTTGATATTGACGTTCATGTATGCATATTACAGTCGTATTATTGAATGCTATGACGCGCTCCTATATGAAGTATCGCGGCAAAGACCAGATTCTATATTGCAGCAACTTTATGATGCAGGAAAAGGTCCCATGGATGACTTAGACGACATAGATGCAAAAGAGTCTAACCAAGGTTTACTTGGAAATGTAACATTATGGGCAGTCAGCGCAACAGTTGGCGCAGCAGCTGTAGCAATCATGAATACTGTCTATGGATCTTGGATATAAAAAAATCAATTTATGTTACAAGCATTTTATCGAATTATCATAATGGAATGAAAATATAGCTGTACATATAAAAATTTTTATTACCAATGTATTATTGTTAACCCGTTGTAGGTCACCTTTTTAAATTACTTTAATACAAGAACGATTTTATATTGTAAAGTTGACAGTCTTCGTCTTTTTACGTTTATTACAATATTCAATAGATTAGCCGCACTACATATTTCTCTTGCAATATTATCGCTCCTGTGCGCGCTTTAAAATAGGTAAAAGATCTTTTTAGGATAGAATTTATTACTGTGACTATCTTGGTAATTGTATGAATCGCTATTTGCGTTGTAAAGTTACATCAACGAAATATTATTTGAGTTATTGCTCGTAGAGATAACTGAATTTTATAGCTTAAATCAAAAATTATGTATCAGTCCTAACATTTTTATAGAATTATCTTATTGAGAGTAGTGAAGATCTAGAAATATATATATATATATATATAATACCATAGAGGACGGCATAGTGCATGCAATAGCATGGTCTACCTCCACCTTGAACAGTTTGACTATAATCTACGAATATTCTACAGCCGTACTTTGTATACTTATATGGAAGCAAATGCAATTATTCTTTCTATAGTTTTATTATAAATTCATGTAATAATGCTTCATAAACAGTTTTTCTAAACTGTAATTATACCAAATGCAAGATTTACAGTAGATAAAATAAAGAAGCTACAGTAATATATATATATTTATATACACATTTACATTGCTAACCTAATTAACGACTTTAATTTTATGACGCGCGTAAGTCGGGATTAAAATGAAAGAGAAAGGGAGAAAGTGTTCATTTTTAATTACAATCTTGAATGTATCGACTCAGATCCGCTACGTAACTCATCAGTGTAAAGAGTCAACGCTATAATGAATATTAGTATGCATGAATGCCTGATGATACCATTAAGAGAATTCTCTTAGTAGCATCTACTTCATCTCTTTTCTTTACTTCGTTTATGTTTTCTCTTGCGTTCATCACAAGAACTACTAGATGCATACTTATGATCTTTCTTATCACGATGTTGCTTACTACTACTGGATTTCTTCTTTTTACTTTTCTTTTTATGTTTGTGCGTTTTATGTTTTTTAGATCGGTGATGACCAGCGCCACTACTATCACTGGATGTAGAATCTTCCAGTAGTGATTTTAAAAATTCTACTCTGAAATGTTATGAATTATATATCGTTACTTATAGCTAATTTTGCTTACAATTATTTCTTAATACTGTATTGTAATCAAAATTTAGATTAGAAAGAAACTTTATCAGCATTTACCGAGCTTTACTAGCTGTACGCTTAGTATCCTTAACGAAATTATGCATGGGATCTTCGTGGCTCTAAATGTAGTGAAAATAGGACAATTAGCATAAAAAAAAGGTCCCGATGAAATATCTGTTTCTTGATTTAATTGAATAATTTCAATTAGAGATTGTTATTTTATACAGTTTCAACTGGTAACTTAGAAATTTGTGTGACTATATCTATCAATTTATTTGGTTAAACTATACATTATTATAAACTCCTTAGATATTAAAAATTAATTTTACCGCAAATGTACGTTCTCCCATAAGTTATTTACTGCTCACATAGTACATAATTATAATAGCGGATTTTTATCTATTGTTAAGTATAAGTAAAATAATATGCGAAACACTGATGGAGCATTACTATTCGAAATTCTTCTAATTTTCGATTGCCGCTGATAAAATAAGGGCATTCTTTATCGCCTGTTCGATGACCATATGCCTTGCATCTCCAACCTATATCAGTAGAGGAGGAAAGTCAATAGAGAAATTAACGTTATGATATGTTGTACAGCATGATCATAAATAAAATTACACTATGACGTCGAGGTTAGTGTTCTGTCAGAGTTCAATTAAATAATAATGCCATACAAGATAATGCTATGACAAAACATTACGCAGAAAATAACTCGTAAATATTAACTTGATATTGCATAATACTAAGTATATAATAAACTAACATTGCATAACTTTAACTTCTTTTCCTAACGGCATCCATAACCCTCTACTTGGTGCATTTGCAAGAAATTTTCTGGCATGCACATTTTCTGGTAGATCAGGTATGCAATCTTCAGGCTTTTCATCGTCTTCCTTTAAGTCGATAAGCAAATTTTTAAGGGAATTTAATAAATTACCAATAACTCCTTTTAAGTTTTATTAAATCTATTAAGGCTAATAGTAATCGATATCATCAAGTGGGAATTACAGTAGATGTCATTGCAACTTGCAAATCGTAGCTATTTCATAGTAACATATATACTGGCATTAAAGGTTATAATTTATAAAAACATGTGATAATATTACGGCAGTTATACTTATTGTTATCATTTACTACTATGTTTAAGGGTAGATTGTTAAAAGGGGCATTACAGATTTGATGAATGATTAAAAATGAAAGTGTTGTAGTACAGTATAATTGTATGAAACAGTTGTCACCTTAACCGTTTGTGGGGGAGCGTTCTCGTAGCTAAAAGCGATCAGTTAAGGTTATTTGGAGTGCGAAAATAATGAATATAAATGTATTTACTCCGTAAACACATTAACTGATAAAAAATTAATCGGAAAGAAATGCAAAGTCTTATCAAAGTTATCCTGCTACCCACATCGTACATAGCTAACTTCATTTACAGTATACATTATGTTATATTATTATTTATAATAATTATCGTAGCGAGACAGGATAAAGTATGTATATAGTATATGCAATCATACAGCTAAGGCAATGATGTAGAGTAAATGAATTATTACGATTATTACTAGACACTATCACTAGAGTATCTTATGTTGTTGTTCATAAACAACGAGCAAGAGAGTTGCTGATCCAATTTTGACTCAGATATCGTTAAACTAGCAGCTAAATAATAGTCGTAATCTAACATAGCGTCATAGTGGACAGCGTATTGTTGATTTAGTTTGAAATGCAACTAAACATTAGCATTTTTATTTCCTATGTCTATTTCAGTTCATTTTCTGGTTTAATGTTCAAAATCTGAGCAGATACAACGTAGCTACGTGAGCAAGAACATCTTCAGGCTGAACATCGCCGAGCTTAGCACCTTCGGATTCCATCGAGATCCAATTCTTGCAGAGAACGCTCAACTACGAATGGACTAAGCAAAGGTATAATAGACCTGTCAGAGGTTGGCATACACTTACTGCGCAGCTGTGGTGGACAACCTATAGTCAGGTATGATACCGTATACTCTACAGTACAGTGAGTTTGACTGTACAGATTACAGTACAGTACAGTACTGTACTGTACAGTATAACGGTATCAGCCCTTCAGTACTGTACACTGTACAGTACAGTACAGTGGCTGCTAAACTTTTTGATATCCGACCAACATCTGTCCGTAACAGAGTCAATATATTTTAAATCATGGCTATACAGTACTGTACACTATACCATGTATGACTGCCGCACAGTACTGTACAGTGTGCCCAAATTCTTATTGCCTGGCTATACTAGGCGCCTTGATATCCACCAAGCAGAACAACTTTTTCCTCTACTAGTGATCACTTGGTCATCCAGTATGGCGTCGATAACAGCTTTGCGTCGGTTTGCCGGAACGGGATCATTATCCAATATATTTGCCAGAATTCAACCTATCGTAGCCAATTATTCAAAGCTAGTAGAAGTAGATAAAGAAGTCGTTACTCATACTGGTCAGGTAAGAAAATGATGACTTACAGTATTTCGTAAGGAGACCATCTTAACTACTAACCTTGCGCTGCATTGTAAAACACATTAGGACACATTTGGCTTATACAAATTATTCCATCTTCTACGTAACACATTTTTTACTCATTCCAGCAAACAGTACATTGTCATTGCAAAAAAATTCATCCGATGGCTTATATTTACAAACTCATATAACAAATGATAGCATCTAAATTGGACATTTTGTGAATTCTTTACCGTCTCTTTTTTCTTCTCCAATATCTTATCCCTGCAAAATAAACACATACGCGTAAACAATGCGTGCTTATTACAGTGCTGGACGTGCCCTGATGTGAACAGAAATTCAAAAATATATTGTACAATACTAGTAAAAAGAATCTACAATTGAATACGGTGCGAATGTGCTGGACTATACTACACTGTAGGGTTTATTCCAATTTTTGTTAACAACGTAACAGATTCAGAAGTCATACATGTTTCGCATTTGCCCGTATTGCGTATGCTTGGTCTGCTTCCCAATGTTAATTGGGGTAATCATCACTTGACAGCACAGCACGTAAGGCCTGAAGACCTCCATAATGTAGTTTATCAACTGTTCGCATCTAATTTTCAGACTATACTAAATATGTATAGCATCATTGGCTATGCTACGGCAAACGGCCTTTTACCTGATGTACTCGTTAATTATATAATTGTCCACGGTTGAATGAAGCTATATTATAGATTTGCAATTCTTACATATACATGTACGTTCGTAATTTCGTTAACTCTTATTAATGCATCCATACAGTGTAGCTAGCAGCTTAGTAAATTTCCTGTAGCAATAATAGCTACAAACATACACAAGGTAACTAATCACTATGTGAGTACTGTACTGTCGCTGTACAGTTGTCTCCATATCGACTATTTACTTATACAGTACATGGTATGGCCTCCATGAATCGCGCATTACAGCACACTACTTGATGACTGAAAATAAGAATCATGCATCAATTGATTAACAAAACATGCTTTTCATACCTGTCGATATTTATACATTCGTATATTGTGCTGTACTGGATTTGTTTGAGTAGCAGTATGTGAATTTAGAATGCGTTCTTATACATAGCATCCGAATATATACCGTACTTGCATTATAGTACAAGACGTGGCATGTTGCACACGGTACCAGTTTACTCGGCGTTTGAATATCGTATACAGTAAAGTAGCTTTTAATTGATTGCTAGTAGTACGAACAATATGACCTATAAATTTACATTTTAGCCTAATTATACCTCTTTTGCACGCATACACAATTGCTCACTATTAGCTGACAAGATTATTAACGAATTTAAAATACACTAAAATGTCTAAAATGACTGACAGAAATCTTTTTTATGAACAGGTATTTGACAAGAATGACCGAAGACGAGCTAGGTTTATCGATCGTGAAAAGGAGGCGAGTAATCACCAAGTTCTAAACCTTGTCACTGCGATATTAAAAGAGTTCAATTTTTAGATTAAAAAATATCATTGCTATCGATTTTGCCGCTTTATGATATAATTATCATCGACTTATTTGCGTGAGATTCACATAGTATAAGTAATTGTATAATAAGTGCTGTACTTCGTATAGCACTTTCGAGGTTACGCAACCAAGTTATGAAAAATTCCAACGTTTAGATCAAATATTTCAATGTTCTGTTTTTTTGAAATGGCATTAAATGAAGATAGCACGAGCAGCATATCATCGCTATCTAAATAACACTTATATAATGACAGTAAATATACTTAATAATAGTCATAGAAATACTACCCGAATAAGTATGCTACTACAAAATCTACTGTACATTAATTCCAAGATTCGTACTCAGTATATGTTAATCACCGTACGCCTTTATCTACTGTAGTGAAAACTGGCACATGTAACTTTTTGCTTGACTTTAGGATATTAAAATTATACATTTATGTTCTGCAAATCTCTCACAGGTGAACGAAAGGTTTGCTATTGATCTAATAAATGAAGTTCCACCTATTAAGGTAAAAGGAAGACATGTCTGGTGTGACGGAGGTAAGGATTTCAAGTTCTACATTTTTAGACTGGTCTTAAATTATGATTAAATGTCTTAGTAATATATATAACTAGAAATTAATCAATGATTACGTCGTTTTAACATCTCAGTCATATTGTATACGCTCATTTAGGAAACTCTGCTCTTGGTCACCCTAAGGTTTATATCAATTTGGTACGTTAAGAAGAGTATATGATTAGTGCTCAGCACCTGTCCACTAGGATTACCGTTAAATTATAGTAATTTTTATTTCATAGGATTCACCTGGTCCACAAATTTGTGCTTACTGTGGCTTGAGATATATCAGAGAGGATTAAGAGAGAACTCTAGAAGCTTTCAAATAGTTATGATGATATATAAAATTTGTATTTATGCTATGCACTTAATCGATCTGAATTTTATAAATGGTACAATAATTAAAGGTTAGCTTTCGTTATATCCCAAGGCTAACTACTGTAGTTATAAATGTAACCTTGTATAAAAATGCAGATCTGCCGCAGTGATGCTTTTTTTTTATAAACCTACGCGAGGTATTAAAGTACTCTGTGACGACATTATATCATTGTATTTGAATCAGATGTTAATCTGCGTTATGGCAATCTTATGAGTCAACAATTTATTATCGAATAATGTTTGAGTATTCTACATCGTCCAACAGCATATGAAGTCTATCGATGTTGGTTCACTTAATGTCTACCTGTGATACTGCATGAACGTAGCTTGCTACTGATAATATTTACTGTCGTTAGATGACAGATAGGGATTACTTACTATCTAATTACACCTTTCAATGAGTATCCAATTTTAAGATTTATACTGGTGTTACCGTATATTATCATCAAAATGATTTCATGTGTGGGCAGTTGGCAAAAGGCGGAAGGTTGTAAACTAGAAAATATATTCATAGGCGTTGACACCTGTACTGAAGTCCTTCAAATAAAGGACTTCTCGACTAAAGACTACCGTAGCACTAAAGTGTTAGTTCATCCGTTCCAGTCAGTTTGAAATGCTGCCATTGCTGCATGCTCGTTGCCATAGAAGCACCCTGTATCAGGCTGTATGGTTGTCAACAGATTACTTATTTGTAAGTTGCGGCAAATCAGTAGCCAAGCGATAGATATCCCTAATTTAGTCATGTTGTTTGTCTTTAGTGTACAGTATATCACGTTCCTGCAGAGCTACAGTAGTAAACACACAGCATAAGCTCTTCGAAGTATATATACAGTATATAGTATATATAAACTTAATAACTGACTTTCGGATATCCTGAGGGCTACATTAATAAGATAGGGGGAGCTGCGCTGCCATGTCACTGTTAGGGGTCTGGTAGTGGTAGGGCATTGACCTGTTGTTTGTACAGTAGACTGTAATCAAGTTCAGTTTTGGAACTGACTAGTGGACTTGACCTCGGACTACGAGAACAAATCCTGCAGTACTGCACTGTACTAAACTACCGTTCTTTTTAGTACTGTAGTGTGTATTGCATCAAAGTCAAGTGGCACTCTGACTGAGATACACCTCTGTACGCCTCTATCTCCTAGTACTGTAGTCTACTACTGCAGTACTGTATGAGAGCAAGAGGGAGTTTTCTGTCCTACCGTCCGGTGCCTCATGCGTACAGTGTACAGTGCGTCCCGGAGTGCAGACTGTAGAGTACAGTACTAGGTATGGTAGGCTTTCTCCTGCAGTACAGTATTTTTAGTTCCTTTCCTCACCTTCTTTTCGCTAAAAGTACTGTACTGTACAGTACAGCATAAAACGGTAGGGCAATAAGTACTGTACGTACTGTACGTTGCATCATACTGTACTGTACGAGCGTACCTTGCGTCACATACTGTACATTCATCACAACGAAGGAAACACTTTTTGACCGTTGGGATTCAACTAAAGATCAGTCATGGTGGTTGATAACTCGGAAGAAGTTACCGATATTGTTGCGGAAAGGTTGGTATTTTCTTCTTTATGATAATAAAACTTAGCTAGAGTGAGGAAGACTTTGCCCTCGTCATATGCTAAACGACATAATGGTCAGTTTTTATCTTGAAAACTAAGCTTCAAGTGAGTAAAAACGCCTCGTTTGAAAGCCTACTTCCAACGCTGAGTCATTGACGATGATCAGTACAGTATGTGAAAATATAGGCTTCACTGGTGAACGCAATAATACAGTATCTGCTATGTGTCTTGTGTAGTAGAAATAGAGAGTACAAACGCATACAAGATGCAAATGGTAGACAACGTTGTAAAGGACTATTTCAGTCGACAATTGTTGTCAACTAGTAAAAGCTTACGCCTACACTGATTCGTGCAAAGTTCCAATATCAAAAGAGTGCACTTCACCGGCGTCCATTGCCGCTCACTACTCTTTGATAGTATCTTTCCATAGTAATGTAAAATACGCCTATTTCCAGAATCACGGAGCCTTATTTCATACAGATTATGTATCATCTAGGGAAGAAATTGAATTAAGAGTAAAATTTTAGTACTATAAAATAAGATGAAAAGTCTCTGATCGATTTTTTTTCAAATTTTCAAGTATCGCAAGCTACCAGCCACCAGGCGCCACTTGAGGCGGCCTTTCTATACTCTACAGTACTGTACATTAGTGTACAATGCATGGCATACCACCGTGCTTTTGTGCTATCGACAGTACTGTACTCTACCGGTACATCATCCGTACTGAACGTCATAGTTAGTCCCTGACCATACACTGTACAGTGCAGTACTGCACTTTACGCGTATGGACGGACGTACGATGTTCGCCTCCGATGAGTCCATCGTTTGCAAAAATCAATCTTTTTAAAGTACTTTTATTCGAATGCTCCTGTACTAATCCGTCAATTTCGGACTCCACAATTTGTTTCTGGATTCCCTTGGTCCTTACTAGTTTTTATGCTATAAATGAACTGATGCATCATCTTAAACTTAGCGATTTTTTTGTGCTATACTGTACTCACTGTTGTTCTGATTGAACTTTATCAGGCAATATTACCGTTGTAACACTATACGCGTAGATGTGCAATATGCAATTTTAACTATTGGTCTATTACAGATCGTTGGAAGATTCTAGTTCCCATAATAAATCGAAGAAAAAACATAAGCATAAGCATAAACATAAAAAGCACCGTAGCGATGTAGATCCTAGCAAAAGTCGTCACAAGCACAAACATAAGAAGCACCGTAGACCAAGCGTTGAAGAAGGTAACAAAGATGATGCAGAATCTACGCACGATTTAAAAGAGAAAGAAATTGATGATAACGATTTGGAAGCCTTAGAGAAAAGGAAAGCTTACTTGGAACGTAAATTAGCCGAAGAGAGCTCAGAAGGTTCCGAAGTTAATGCTGACCTTGAACGACCTGATAACGATAACAAAGATGAGACGAGCGACGATAACGATGCTGGGGTTGCAAATAAATCTGGTTCAGAATCACCTGATGGTGCTAGAGGTAGATCTATTTCGCCTAGTTTATCTCCGCAATATCGAAAAAGTAGAAGTAGTTCAGCTAAACGTAAGCGCTCTAGATCGGTTGAAAAACACAGCGTTCGCGCTTCCGGTACTAGAGATAGGTCTCCTTCACCGCGTCGAGATCGACGTTCCAGATCTCGTAGTCCTCGGGTAAATTTACATCGACGGAGAAGTAGAAGTGACTCCCAAGGTCGCTATCGAAGATCACCTTCTAGGTCCTACCGTCGAAAGCGAAGCCGATCTAGATCAAATCATAGACGGAGTAGATCCAGTTCTAATCGTAGGCGCGGTAGATCTAGATCGAATCATCGGAGAAGTAGATCCAGATCATATCATAGAAGAAGTGCATCTAGATCGCACCGTAGAAGAAGTCGATCTAGATCGTACCGTAGGAGAAGTACATCTAGATCGTACCGTAGAAGAAGTCGATCTAGATCATACCATAGGAGAAGTCGATCTAGATCAAAACGTAGACGTAGTAGGTCGCGATCAAATCAGAGAACTCATTCACGGAGATCTTACCACAGAAATCGTTCTGCGGAAAGAGCACATAAAGACACAGCTATGAAGAGGGAGAAAGGATTGGTAGCTGAAAATGTAGCACCGTCAATCTCGGAATCGAGCGATTCTGAAAGTAATGAAGACTATAATGTTGAAGTAATGGATGAAGAAGAAATTATTCGAAAGAGAAGAGAAGAGAGGCAAAAAATATTGCAAAAGTATAACAATACTGCAACGGAGGAATCATATATAAATGTAAACAGTTCAGTTACATCTCCAATTGTAGATACATCCGTAGTAAATAGCAGAGCAAGTACCCCAAATAGTATCGAAATAGCCGACCATGCAACCGCTGCTGTTGCAGCTGATATTACTGAAGCCTTAGAAAAATCTGCTGTTAATATTTTTGATGAAGAACAAGAAACTTTAAAGACTACTTCTGAAATTTCCGGCGGAGATATGTTCGCTGAAGGCGACATGTTTGCTGATGATTATATGGTAATAAAAATTTCGATAGAATATTACAGTACAATATTCTATCTGATACCATCACTGATGACTCATTGCAATATTTTATAGAACACCAAAACCAAGCAAGTAGATGAAATATCAGATAATCCAAATTTAAACGATAACTGGGATGACGATGAAGGATATTATCGTACGTATTCACTTTTTGAGAAAAATAAAGTGATCAACTTCTTACCATAGATTGTATACTTTTATGCAGGCGTCCGTATAGGAGAATTATTGGATAAAAGATATAAAGTTTATGGTTATACTGGTCAAGGAGTATTCAGTAATGTAGTTAGAGCTCGCGATACTACTCGAGGAGACCAAGAAGTGGCTATCAAAATTATTAGAAATAATGAAATGATGTAGGTGTATAATGTAACTTAAAAACCTTCACGCTTTCTACAGCCTTTGAATTTTATACTAATTAATGAACTGATATTGTTAGGCATAAAACTGGTCTCCGAGAATTAGAAATGTTAAAAAAATTAAACGAAGCTGATCGTGACGATAAATATCATTGCTTAAGGCTGTACAGAAATTTCTTCCATAGAAATCACTTGTGTCTTGTATTTGAATCTCTTAGGTACACATTATTAAATAATAAAGCATGCATATTTCATAGCTATGATCTTATCATGATGTTAATATGCCACTCTCATTAAAATTTTAGCATGAATCTTCGTGAAGTTCTTAAAAAATACGGAAAAAATGTTGGTTTAAACATCAAAGCTGTTAGATCTTATGCCCAACAACTCTTGCTATCACTAAAGTTATTGAAAAGATGTAGCATACTACATGCTGATATTAAACCGGACAACATTTTGGTAAGTTATAGTTGGAAAATTTTAAATTTGCTCATATACGATTGTAGGTAATTACAGCGTAATCTAACTTGCATCTTTTGATATTGGAAGGTAAATGAACAAAAACTCGTTCTTAAATTATGCGATTTTGGCTCGGCTTCAATTGTTTCTGAAAATGACATTACACCATATTTAGTTAGCCGCTTTTATCGCGCCCCGGAAATTAGTAAGTGTCACTATTATAACATTAGCACATCCTTACATTGATTGTACGATCACATTACAATGCTATCTTTTTTGCTTTGATTCCAGTTATCGGGAAAAGTTACGATTACACAATTGATTTGTGGTCAGTTGGTTGTACCCTATTTGAAATATATACAGGAAAGATTCTATTTCCTGGAAAAACTAATAATGAAATGCTAAAGCTCATGATGGATATGAAAGGCAAAATGCCGAATAAGGTTATTCGTAAAGGAATGTGCAAAGATGAACATTTCGACATGAATGGCAATTTTATTAATCGAGAAATTGACAAAGTTACAGGAAAGGTCAGTTAATACCATTAGATATAAAGATATACCATAAATATATTATGTTGCGAAGTCATACATATTGTAGCTTGCAACGAATAAAGTACGGATAATGTAAATCTAATGGTTTGGTTATAAGTACTACATACAATCGACACTGGGTAAGCATTTCAATGATACTTATATTAGTTAAAGCGCTAAAATCATTAACTGTTACTCTCTTTAGCAAGGATTACGTGACTTTCTATAGAAGCAATATCGTTTAACGACTAGATTTACGAAGATATAAAATCACTACCACGTTTTACCGCGCAGACAATTGTGTTTCTAATCTCTAGTAAATCTTTATTTGAATCAGATTTATATGAAATTGCAGATTCCTATGAATGTGTATTAAAAGGATGATATGAATTGGGATTCATATTAATGTCGTATTACAGTTTCAACTTTGTGATCTTTGCAGCATTGTTTATATATATATATATATATGTATTACTGTGATACAAAAATTTCTTATTCTAACCTATTTTCTGTAATATTAGGAAAAGATATCCATTATATCGAATCTCAATTCATCGAAAGATTTGTTGGCAATGTTAGTCGGTAATCAACGTCTTGAAGAATCTCACTACCGGAAAGTCACTCAACTTAAAGATTTGTTAGACAAGATATTTATGCTCGACCCTGCGAAGAGGATTTCGATAAATGAGGCGCTCAGCCATCCCTTTATCAAAGAAAAAATTTAAACTTGTTATGCAATTATCATGCATGAGGTTCTTTAAATATGTAGTTAAAAAATTTGCATGATCTGACACTAGAATTTAAGAGACGTTTGGTAATGTAAATATTGGAATCGTTCCATGGTTGCAAACGACCTAATAACTATGTTGTATTATTATCACACCCTTTCTAAGTTGCGTGTATAGGACTCTAGCAAACTTTAAGTATCATTGGATCTGCTGACTGTAGAATATGGATAGCGTGAAAAGGCTATATTCGCACGATAACCGGCCACTCGTATAGTCTGTAACTTGTTATTCTAGTCTATAGGTTTGTACGAATCTTGCGGCTAAAAATTATAGAAGTTCTGTCAGTGTCTTATTGACTTTCGGAATGATAAAACTGACAGCAGTTTTTTTGCATCTTCTTGGATCATAAGTTACATTTACTGCTATTTACAAACATTATTTCATCTCTGTAATGGTGTATAATATACTAGTATTTATTGAATGATAAATGCCAGGTCATTCTGCGAAAACCAAATAGAGCATGTGCGATAAGGATATAAACAAAATGCTTGCAGTTATGGATTTCATACTTCTCATACATAAAAGAACATATCCGAAAATGTTAGAGTGTACACGTACGTAAACTAAAGTGGAGGAATTATTTCATCTACCTCTATTTACCGTTTTGTGATATCTTTGACTCTAATGAGGTTTTCTACAATTTTTGCAAGAAAACTGATTCTAACATCTGACGATTGTCATGAAGGTATTGTAAAGGATATAAAAAAATTAATAATTTTATATTATTGCTAAATCTACACACATGTTTAATACTACTATATTGTAAAATGTTGGTAGTTCGGATTTGTTAATTACGTGTATTAACTTTAAACTATCAGTAAGATAAATCTTCTATCCTCAATAATGACTTTCCTTGCAACGCTTTAATCAAACCTTTCGAACGTACTTAAATTCGTAATCAAGTCGCTTCACTAGCCTTAAAGCAGTTACGCTCGATTACTAGTAACGTTTTGTGACTGTATTATTCTTAATCGTAGCCTATCATGCTAAAAACAGTATGTTTACTTGCAATAGTGGAATTCATCCGCATATAATTTCTTTTAGACAGGTAATTGCGTAAACAGGTACGACTTTGGTTATTGAAAGACTATACCTCCCAATATTATTCCTCGTTTGACGTACAATATCAATGTATTCACTATGATTCTATGCTAGTGTATAATTGGCGTATAAGCGACAATACTGTGTAGGTTAACCTGTAAGTATAGCTATCTTATTGCATTATGCCTTTCATGTAAGCCAAGTTGGCTTTTGGATACTTTTTAAAGATTGCAACTACGATAAACATCCAAGTTTAGAACTGAGCAATCTAGCAATACAATGTTCGTTTTATATCGCTGAAATGGAACCTCATTACATATTACCATGTTATTGACATGTCATAAAACTGTCTCAGAATATTATTTCTGTACAATTCCGTCATTTGTGACTTTGTAATAAAATAAAATTCATCGAATAATATCAAGTCTATTGTCAATCTGCTTTATGAGAAAGTAAATATCTTTGTTGGCATTTTGCAAAAAGCAAATTTTGGAATACTACAATATCACTGTGTATGTTCATTTTGAAGTTCGGAATTTATAAAGTTTATTTTAATCTTTATGCACGTAGTGTGGCATCTGACATTACCGCACACAGAGTATAGCAGTAACTTTATAAACTTACACTCATGCTTCTTATTAGGTAACGCAAGGCATTACATGCAGCGCTTGCCACTGTAAAGTGATGGCAGATATACGCGTATTTTGAGATGTGGAATAACTTCACGGTGGTTCTAACCGATGCCTTCCAAATTAGTATCTAACGATACGAACGATTGACGTTTGGTATACAAAATTCGCAAAATATAGTTACATCATTACAGTATTTCATCAAATAACGTCATGTATAATAATATTTTGGCATTAGAAATTCTGCAGATCCAATGTTTCTGTACCGTAAGTAGCTATAAAATTCAGTATAGCCTTTCATAAATAGTCAAATACTCGTTGTGTTGTAAATGTAATGAATATTTAAACGGCACATACGAGTCATATAATCACTCCTACTACGCTTATATGAACGATATTCGCTGTACTGTACAATTCCGGAGAAAACCACGACAACGTACTATATATTCTACGACAGACAACTGCAGCTGGTAAACGTCAACTGTATGGATATTCTCTGTAAATCAATAGACTAGAGACTATACGTATACGTTATGTCGTAGTAGCAATTTATTCGAGATTTATCTAAATAATTAGGTACTATTAACACTATAAATCCTCTCAATCTAAGAGAACGCCATTCTAGAGGAACTATATGTGATCTAATCACCCTGCTGCCTCAAAGATCGCAATATCAATTTAGTACAGTATTAAGTACACCCGCGCAATCTTGAATATCATTTGGATGTGCAAATAACTGAATTAAAATATCTAAGAGAAGTGATCTATTGCTTAGCACGTACTAGATTCTTTCGTATAAGGGGTACTGTTAGTATATTGCTGCGGATCTTTCTACGGAAAAGAGCCCTGTAAACCTGTATTATGAGTAATTAGGCGCTGAAATAAATTTGCATTGCAAATAATCCAATCAATAATTCATACGTAGCAAGATGATCACGTGCGTAGTTGTAACCATAGAGACAGTGAGGTAAGAAGAAAGCTGATTAAAATGAAGAGTAAAGTCTTTTCTACTCCCGAACTAATTAATTGTAAAACAATTTAAAGGCGTAGCGAATTGAGTGAAAGATTTCTTGGTTATATTAGTAAAAAGTCAACCTTAATGGATGAAAAGTATTGTTTCCAGACTTATCAGTATGATACAGTGACTGTAGAAGTACGCCTGTCGAGCTGTAATATGGCCTAGTCAATATGTTAATTAAGGAAGTACTTAATTATTAGAATCTATTATGCGAGTTATATATTGTATGGGCTATAGAATATTATAAAGTCACTCTTGAATAGCGATTTAATCAGTGTCGCGAACGTTATTGACAATTATAAATACTATATTCTCTTAGCGTGTAAAGCATAAAGTAATCCCATTCTGTATTTCGAAGACGACGGATTGATCCATCATGGAGCAAGTGTCTGCCAATCAAGTACTTTTCAGACAGTTGATCAAACGTAGCAAAGATCTCGGCATTAGTGATGATGAATTTGCTAAAATGTCGGCTGTCAAGAAATATAATAAAAAAGTGGACATTTTTAACTTTCTTATCGTGTTAAGCGTTTTGGCTGCTTTAGGTGCCGCCGGAATACTTGCTGGCGTCTCATATCAAGTTTTGCCCAAACGTTTGGAAGGACTGTTTTTTAAATATTATTTCAACACTACAGATCCAACTGAAATAGGCTGTTTATTGGAGAATACTGAAACTACGCAAGATGTCTTTAGGCCACCTGTAGATTGTAGCATGTGCCGTGGTATTACCGAAATCGTCCGTGTTTCTAATTTAACCAAAAAAGAGTTTGAAGAAAAATATGCTTATAGCGGGCAAGCAGTGGTTGTAACTGACGGCACCGCTAACTGGACTGCCCCTGAAGTATTTAGTTTCGCTTACTTTAAGAAACTTTATGCTCCTAAAAGTGTAGCATTGCGAAGTGCAGAAAGAGACTGTCAATTTTTCCCCTATAAAACTAATTTTACATCTTTGGGCCAAGTCTTTCGAATGCCTAAAGCGCGTGCCAATTTAAAGACTGGTAAACCGTGGTATATCGGCTGGTAAGTAAATTTAGACAAGACAGAACCTACGTGACCAGCACTTTGATCGCAAAACAATATGACACGTACATTTGTATCAATTAACAAAGAAAACGTTCGCGTCAGTATAAGTTTGGTTAAGCAGGAAATTACATTTTAGTAAATTTTTTAGAGTTTTTATAAAGTAAAAAGCAATAATTTATAATTAAAAATCCTTACCTAGATATCTTTATTCAATTTATTTACATTTCGGAGTTATGTGAAACGAATGGAAGTAAATAATATTCTTACTTCTAAATGAAATAATAATGGTACACCCATTTGCATATTTTTTTCTACCTAATTTTCAATACAGTGAAAGCTTCATCGATCCAAATGCGGAAGCTCTTAAAAGCTGTAGCCCAAATTAAAACGTCTACCTATTATGAATTTTAGATATTTTGCACGTTACTTTATCGGCAAGATGTCAAAAAGTAAGAAAAAGCGATTTCAAATAGACCTTGTCCAACCTTTTCATTGCCGTCTATTGTTCCTTTCATCACCGTAATATAAATATATTATTAGAAAGAATCTACGAGAACTTTTTTGAAAGTTAGTTCAGCTTGTCGTTACTTCTAGGAAGTTATCGGACTATTAAATTCCAGTATGGTTTAATCCATCACCGACCAATGGAAAACTTAGATTCTATTATGACATTTTGTATGATTTTCTCTCATTACATTAACCGAAATGAATAAACTGCTTGGCCATGATACAAAGTCTTTAACCTCCCAAATTTTCAATTGATTCCTTTACCGTATTCACTAAACGCAGGTATGACAGTTTGTTATGCCGACAGAATCGAAACAAATCTGCGGAGAAGTATCTCGTGAATAGTTACTTCTTTAGCCTTAATCCTATTATTATGAATTCTAGAGTTTGCAACCCGTCAGAACTTTGTAACTAACATGTATTATAAATATGTATAACGTAACAAAAATTTACCAGAGTTAAAGTGGGCATACCGTGGTAGCCGACCATGGCCAATAAAAATAGCAGGCGTTACTATCTTGATTATCTTCATCTGGGGACCTTCCTTTTGCTGCTGTGCGGTACCTTCGTTGCTACCTAGATGTCTTAAGATTCGACGTTTTAATTAAACAGCCATGTCGTTATTAATAAGAAATTGATAGAAATCTCGATTCCAATAGATAATATTAATCAAATAATATAATAAATTGGGATAGAAACAATTTACGGTGCTCACCTGCTTCTCTTATATATTTATGTGTTAATGATAAATTGATAGAAATTCTCAATGATGCCAATAGATGATATTTAACAAATAAGATAAACTGGTAAAGAAACAACTTATGTCGCTCACTCGTTTCTCTCATGCATTTATGCACTTGTTAGGAGTAACTGCGATGCAGAAGCCGCTAACGTTCTAAGAAGCCATTACAATAGGCCTTATTTCCTACCGGAAAGATCAGAATCAAGCAGAATCGATTGGATTTTCATGGGCAGTCCTGGATATGGTGCTCATATGCACGTAAGCAATACTGTTCTTCTTTAAAGGTTCTTAAAGTTAATTTAATCACTACTGTATGTATTTCTACTAAGAATTTTTTATCGCTGATGATAAATCTATAATATAATGTATGCAATCTTCTTTCATTGATGATTCACCTTATACAGCCTATGATATCCGTACATCTATCTCTTCACTTATATTTTCTTAATTCCATTTGCTCCGATAGTCTTTATTTCTTTTAAAAGTTGATAAAAAATATTCACATATTTCCTCCAGTATGCCAAACTTTGAAGTTGCTTTCAATATGTATCATTAGTCACATTTGTAATATAAAATATCGCATTTATAGCTAATATTCTTACAATATTAAACTTATTCTTGAAATGATAGAGGTAATTAGATATTGGCGCATGCTTTATCTAATACTATAGTTTACTTCTATTAAAATAAATCAATTGATAATCCGATAGTAATGACATTATATTATGTAAACTTTTCGTCTATTTTACATTGAATGACAATTTTTATATGATTGAATTGAATATTTAATCAGATCGACAACGTTCATTTTCCTTCATGGCAAGCTCAATTGAGAGGACAGAAAAAATGGATCCTAGAGCCACCTCTAGAATGTGCTGATGTTTGTGTTAATCAAATATCTGTTATTGTCAACACTGGTGATATAAGTAAGTTTATATAATAATTTCAGTAGTACCTACTGAATTAAAAATAGCCTAACTGTAATCATAGGTTATGCCAACCCTTGCTTCATTTCATAATTTTTTTTATTTTGTATTTCTGAATTACATTCATAATGTGGTACCCTAAAATGTCCAATTTTGATTTTCTTTCTTTATAGTTGTATTAAATACAAATAAATGGTTCCATCAAACTGTTATAATGGGCGATGAATTAAGTATCACCATTGGATCAGAATATGATTAATGTCATCCTTATATAATTACAGTATAGTTAATCACAGGATAGGTTAGCTAAGTTGAGTAACTCTCGATATTTATCTTTGTGTTGATTCTTAGTTAAATCATTACAGTATTATAATGTTAAAGTATTCTGTAGTCATTCTCAGAATTCCGAATACTAGTACGACAGTAAGAATTTCTGAGTTTATTCAGACTTTCACAGCATAGTTGATTATGTTACTGTTGGATATACAATTAAATTTTACTATTGTCTCTATGTGATCAATCTTATGATATTAATTTGAAAATATGATCATGTAACCATCTATTTAAGTCATACCTGGCTATCCTATTCTAGTGAGCTTTTTTATACTAATAAAGTATTGTATGTCCGCATACGTAAAAAAATTATGAGATGATGATTTAATAGTTATATCAAGTAATGCTAAAATGGCATGACAAGATAAGGTCATTTTTATTCGTAGTTATTGCTGTATTTCAAGTACCTGTGTTTTATTCTCTATCAAATTATAGTGACAGTTTATGACTATATAAAGCAATGGCTTACTAAATAATATTACTGAAAAATATAGCTAGCTCCATCACCAATCTAAGCTATAGTTTATATCGGTATATCTATTCTTACTCTAAACATAGCAATGATTAAGTAATAATATTTGATCACGTATATTGAAACAATATAATACGATAATAGCATTTTATCTAAAATTACTGTTATACTCCGTGTAGGTAGAACTACTTCCCTTCAATTCATTCGATTTGAGTTGTAAATGTGAAGAAATACCCAGTTTATACATTTTATAGCGTGCAATTATTAATAACATGGGAATAGTAAGAGGGTAATCGAATCTTTCAACCATTGACTTATCGTCAAAATTTAATCCCTTATTCTGACACAGTAACTATTTATGAAACATACGGCATGAAGTTGGAAAGCTATAATCTGTTACGGAAAGGATTTTATTGAGATCATTCTTAAGTATTATTATATTAAAATTAATTTTTATCTTACAATCACAATACCTTAAATTCGTTTGAATGGCATAGATTGCTATTTCTCAACTGAAATATACGGAATTAAGAAAGGCTAGCTAGCCTAAACGCCTTTCGAGTATTGATATAAGGGGCCTAGAAGAATAGTACTAATTTACTAGACTCAATAGCTATTATTTCCTTTACAACAATATGATTTCGTTCATTATAGACGAAGCGAATCTATTTTCTCAATTTCTTGAGTACTATTGAAACCCTCAATTTGAATAATTGTTTCTAAAACTTGAATGATTGGATTATAACTAACAGGTATAATATCAATAAACTTCATTCTTCCCTGTAGCATATAAAATGGACAGAGTAGCGAAATAGACCGGTCCAAAATTTTTATTTGCATATGTGTAAGCTAAATACAAGAGAGACAGTCAAACATACACTATTAAGTGTGTCATTTACGTAACTTGTATAGCAAGTAGTATACAAATGCTATTTTTTCTGAAATCAGTACTAGTACTTCTTCTTAATCCAATACATTAGATAGTGATAGGATTCATTCTATGAACTTATTTTTATGGAAAAAGAAATAAATTTCAAACTGGGATAAAAAAGAATTATATCGATACACAACTACGTATCTATCTACTTTTATTTTTAATACTAATTGTGCTTGATAATGTTATTAACCCCCTCTCCTGTAAAATAGTAAATATAACTAATGAGATCCTATAAATTTATCGATCCTCCACTACAGCAAAGCAGAGATTTTTAAAAAGTGGAGGCTATGGTTTTATTAAGGAGATAAACCAAGTTTAATCATCCGGATCCTCTTGTGGGGATTCAGAATACTGCTTTCGGAATTTGCGATCTTGATAGAATCGATGGCCATCAATAATTGATTGTGCCAAAACCAAAAATGCTGTGAAGAAGCCAAATACCTTTAATTTAAGTACCGATAGAAATAAAAGTAATTGTAAACCAAATTTGCTTATAAAGTAAATATTGCTTTCAAATGCATTGGATGATAGTGAGAACGAATGCTGTAGCAAGCTGTCAAAGAATTGAAATAATTTGAAACAGTTTTTTAATAGCTATTAAATTACAACTTATAGTTGTATGACTACTCCTCGCAAAAAGATATAGATAAAATGTACTTCATAATAATGAAAGAGCAAAATAGCTCCTTGTCAAACAGTTGAGCTATTTTAAAAATCTACCAACATACAACGTACAGTAATATGGATGTGGGAAGATACAGGTGAAATATATTTTATAATGATCAGAGAGTCACTAGTTCTCCATCAAAAAGTTGAGATATTTTAAAACAGTTATATAGTATTGTAGCTATTAACAACAAATAACTTATAACACCGCTACTGAATATAGAAAGACACTCGTAAAATATATTTTATTATAATAATGAGAACGAATAACGTGCTCGTATTGTCGAGAAGTTGAGACATTTTAAAGCTGTTTTCTAATAGTTATTAACTTACAATATAATACGGCTACCGAATGAAGAAAGATACTGGTAAAATATATTTTATAAAGGAGAGAAGAATGAATACAATACTATCAAAAAGAACTGAGCTATTTTAAAATGGCTTTAAATAACTATTAGTAACATACGCTTATATTTAGTAATTCTTTATAATTCATCACTCGTAATATAACATGGCTACCGGGCATAGAAAGCTATTAGTAAAATATATTTTATAATGATGAGAAAAAAATATGACACTGTCAAAGGGTTAAGGCATTTTAAGACAGTTTAAGAACTCCTAATTTACAACACAATATGGCTGCCGAATATAGCTATCGGTAAAATACATTTTATAATGATAAGAACGAATGACATACTGTCAAAAAAATTAAAGCATTTTAAGACAGTTTCAATAGCTCCTAACTCACAATACAATATGGCTACCGAATATAGAAAAATATTCGTAAAGTATATCTCGTAATAATGAGAACGAATTGCGTATGCCAAAGAATTGATGAAGGCATTTTAAAACAGTTTTTAGTAACCTAGAATTTACAACAAAGTATGGCTACCGACCAGAGAAAAATACTGGTACAATAGGCACCATAGACTTACCACCGCAGCTTGTAATTGAGCGAAATTCAATTTTCCCTTATAAGTTTTGATATTGGCTCGTTGGCCCATCGCAATCGAGCCGGTTGCTAAGCCATTAGCAATAAAATATAGCATAGATACACAGCCACATAGAATTGCTTCCTGTATTTACACGGGTAGATCATGATTATTCAAAGAACAAATACTTCAGCAGCATGATAGGAATACATTTATTAAATTATAATATAATAATTTAACGTAAAGTTTCTTATTCTGACTACTATACCGTACATGACAATTAACGATTAATCTAGTAAAAGATATAAGCTTTGAAGGTTAAGAATGAGAAAAATTAGATACCGTAGCATTCCAATCGATTTGCATTCGTTCCGTTAATCGGATGGTTTTAATTATAGACATTACGGTACTATAAAGAAAGGTGAATACACTCATAAAGAGGAAAAATCTCATCCAAGCTGCATTAGGTAGGCTAGTATAATTAAATAATGATCCATTCAATGTTTGATTCCATCCAAATACCAAGGAAAATGCAAGAATGGAAGTTACCTATGGAATAATAATATTAAAAATCAAACATATTTTTATTAATTGTAATTTAGATTCTATTTCCAAGTTGGTAACATTTTTAATTTGGGAAACTATTCATAAATGAAACAGGTTTCACTCAGAAAATCTTATTTTTTACTAAGAATTATAGGCTTCTAATAGTATTAGCTTGATATTAGGTGATGATTATGGATAGCCATGAACATTGAGATTATATTTATGGAAGTGGCCATCTTTTCCCCACATGGCGACATATTCAATTGAAAAACTATTACTATGCAAGTTAGTTCTTCATTTAGTGTATTCCGTTTTTATTGATTGCACAAACTTCCCTAATCATCAATTTGATATATGAGGATCATAGCTAGAATTTCATACTAAGATCAAAAGTCAATCTCTTGGAAACACTTTCCTTAACGCACAAAGCGATCACCTAGCGAATTCTGTTTTTTAGTGACTAGCATAGACTTCTCATAACATCAAATTGGTCTAGCGAAAGGATTGGAGCTACCCATAGTCCTTGAGAATTTTTATACGTAAGATGAAGAGTTGTTCTCTTTGAGAAGCATTTATAATTTGAAAATCATCCTCAATGTCAAAGGCAATTTTTTATTAGCTAGCATAAATTTTGCTTATTAATATACTGTATTCAAATGATTCAGTTTGATACCGTAGAATGATTGTTCATAGCAAATTTATTGAGATTGATTGTGGAAAGGGGGATTTTTCCCTTATTACTGACATATTGTATTGGGAAGGTATTGTACAGGAATTAGCTCTTGCAATGTCAATCAGATACTGAATAACAATTGCTGATAGTAAAATTCGTCGGAATTCGAGATTGCTGAGGTTAGCATTTCTTTCTCCTCTTGAACCTTTTATATTACTAAATAAATAGCACATCAATCATGTCTTCGTTTAAAATTGAACTGAAATTACCCGGCGATTACTTACAGCAAATACCATTGTACCGGCATTTTGGCTAAAATAAAATTATAAATAATATACATTTTTATTGCTTTACTCAAGAACTGCAATGAAAATAGAGCTCAGGTAGGCTTAGTCATTTTTTATAGTTAGTAGCCATTGCTGAGATCATTAAGATAGAGTATTATCAACGTTTTGCAAATTTTTCCATTTTCTATTTTACCAAGGCATGATATGATGCGTTCTTCTTGAGGATACATAGTTATGTATGGCGATTGTAAAAGGCACTTTCACAAAATTGATAGTTGAACTCTCATCAAAAAAAGTAATTCACTCTTTGATTTTTATATCGCCAACGAAAGAAATAATAGGATTGAATAGATTCATTGAAATTTTACTTTTTCTTGATACTCGCCTACTAGCATGCTCTCTGATTTTGATGCCTTGAGTTAAGAATATTATGGCTAGTGAAAATAAAAGTGAGTCATTTCTAGGTCTAAAAGTAGACTAGCTATTCAAAGTGAAAGAATTTTATTCTAATATCGATTTAGATATTGTTATATGCACTGAGTACCGGCAATCTTAGAGAATCTGAATATCGAAGTGTTTGATTAGAATGATTTGCAATGAACAACGATGAAATATGAAGTAATTTTCGATAATTTTTCGCTGTAGAGAGTTCTTAAAGGTATTAGTATTGGCTATAGCATCAAGTTAATCTTCAGAACCCTCACTAGCAGGTCCATTTTGCACTCGTTTCATTGACGAATATTATACAAAAATGCTGCACCTTCTGAAGTAGATTGAACACTTGTAGTGAGAACTGCCTGTTAAACTTAAAGGCTTTTAGCAAATAATTGCCCTATCTCAAAATTGACTAATAGACTTATTGTATTGCCCAATAAATGAATGATATCATTCAATTTCAGCCTTTACCCTGACTATAATGTTTACCATTCTACTATCACTCGCTAGCAGCTTATTGCTTATGACGATCAAGAAATACTGTAAAGTATGACAGAAACTCGACGAAAAATGAATACTATAGGCAGTAATAGTATCCTTGAAAGTGGAATCTCCGCGATCTTATTGCATACCTATCGAACAGCTAGATACTTACTACTTGAGTTAGTGTTAAGGCACCATCCAAACTTTTCAAGTAGTCCTTATTGAATTTACTTGCATTGGATTGAGATTGATCTCCAGTTTCTTCTTCGCTGCGGATCGGAGTTGTTTCTGACATGATAATAATCTAATTTCAGATCAAGTCCAAATTGGAAAGTTGCTATTACCCAAATTATAAATACTCCTAGAGTAAAGCAGAAGAAGTAATTTTACATTCAAATACCGCTAACTAGTTACTGCAAATAATAAGGAAAATCAATTTTCCTGCCTAATAGATGGAAAATATCTAGTTACCGTTTGATATACGCGCAATTTGATGTGAATGTTTAATGGGCAATTCCTCTATTCTCATCATGAACAATAGACCACCATATGTCGGCATGAAACACAATTATTCTACAATATGGCCATATACCCAATTAGAAGGCGAAACGAGTTGCATGAGGTCATAAATTGCTATGAATAGGAAAGCTTAAGGAAGTTAATAGCAATATTTGAGTTTAAGAGCTACTTGCAACTGATTGCACTTAGAATGCCATAATTGAAACTGTAGTAATATCGCGCGAGAATGCTATAGTAAGGTAAGATATAAGCCTAATATGAGGACTACCTTGGTAACCTTTTGTATCTTTGAATCAGAAATATAGATATACAGTGATACAGGAGTATGACTACTCCTGTCATCCATTTTACATGATGACAACAATTTTAATCGTTGATCTCTTATTAAGTCGGAGAGAGTTACAGAAAGTATACAAGTAGGAATTACAACTTTGCATTTTAATATAGAAACATCAAGCAAATAGGCACCATAGAGATTCAGTTCTAGCTGAAATCATATCCATATTTCTCGGACACTTGGTTAATTAATTCTGAAATTACTAGGTAGAAGTAAGTCTAGTAAGAATAAAATTATAAAGAATGGTATACTCATTGGATGAGAAATCAGCTAAAGTTAAAAATTAAGAGAAAGTGTAGAAATTATCCATTATTAAATACGATAACTATCTAGCCTATGCTAGGCCGTTATAAGAAGTGGCCGATAGATCAACCTTCGAACTATTTTCCAGACTAAACTAAAAGACGATATTGGACCACGGATAAAATGATAAACTAAGTATTACGAAGCTAATTAATTAATTTATGAGCATGCAGGTTAATATACTTAATTGATGAGTATTTTAAACGCATTTTGTAGATAAACAAATACAACATACATAGAATAAGAAACTCATGATAAAAAGAACATTGATATTTTATTACAATACTTTAGGTTCCAAAAATCAAAATTTTTGCAATTTCTAACATTCATATTGAAACTGTGGCATCTGGTTAATTAACAGTTTTATTCGTAGAAAGTATAAATACTAATACTAGCTAAGCAAAATATGCCAATAGACACTTTCATCTTGTTTAATATTTGAGATACGGTAATTTAGAGCTAAGATTTTTGTTTACGGAATACACGTTTTCAAGATAGCTTAAGAATTAAAATGCTAACACCTTACTAATATCATATCTTGCAAGTAGGATACTATATATTCAAGTTTGGTTCTAAATCATCAATTAAAGCAAAATTAGTTAAATTTATAATGATAAAACTGCTGCTTTAATAAAGCAAGAAATGATAACTAATCATATTTATGACAATTTTACTCAAATGTTTATACCTTCATTAGACTTAGGCTAAATAAATTAATATACTATATACTATGCGAACATAACAACGGAAAGCGTAAACTAAAATAATAGATAATCATAAATTATTTTCCAACTAATTGATCATTGCATCTCTCTTTTCTCTTTAGTAAAGAGATACAAGAATATAAACTCAGCAAGAACGCATGTCATGCGTATTGAGATAGGATTGAGATTGTTGTTTAGGTATGCATTCTTAATTAAATCATTTTAGAAAGAAAAAAGAAAAATGACACTGTCAACAACGTCTAAAATGATACTAGAAATTAATGATAAACAAACTTTTGACGTGCTTGAATATACTCTTCAGTCTGAAAGCATTGTTGCATCTGATCCAATTCGTAATTTCGATGGTCATGCAATAATTGAAACCAATCATCAGTCATTAATTTCCTCTTCTTATCCAATATACTTTGCACCTGTTCATCATCTTGTGTTAACTTATTGGCTTCAACACTTAACATTTGATCGAAATGATCATGATCTTTAGCAATTAGTTTATCAAACATGCCTATTTTAACAGCTTGACGCGCTAACATTGGCACGACATTATTAGTAATTTGTCTAGCTCTCTCTTGGCCGACACGTTTAGGTAAGAAATAGGTATAATATTCAGAACCGAATAACCCCATCGATTTATAGTGCGGGTTAAGGATGACAGCATCATGCGACCAAACCAAGTCAGCAGCTAATGCCATCATAACACCACCTGCTCCGGCGTTACCTTGCATAGCTGATATGACAACTTTATCACGAATAGAGAAAATCTCTTTAACTACATCATCGATTGCATTAATGTTTCGCCATGATTCTAATGCAGGATCTTTAGAGGCTTCAATGGTATTCAGGTTAATACCATTGGAGAAGAAATTGTAGCCACCACATAATACAATTGTATTAATCAATTGATCTTGGCTACAGCGGTGTATAGCTTGGCGTAGACGTAAACATTGCTCAGTACTCATAGCCCCATTATAAAATTCGAAATGAATATAAGCGATGTTGCCTTGACGGTTTATCCAAATTTCTTGAAAGGTCTCAGGCCGATACCCGTATGAATAATATTCCATCTTAGGTGCGACTTCTTCTACACCTTCTAATTCACATTGTGATAAAACTGATGTGGAAGGCAATTTGATAAATTGCCTACCATGGCTTGCTTTCATATGGCTGATCCATACACCTTGATTGTCGACAGTCTTGAATAGAACTGCTCCACTACGTTTAGCTATGATATCACCTGGTTTAGCGTCGGTCCGTTTATTAATTAATTCTGGCGATTTTTCAACATGAGCACCGAAAATTAATCGCCTAATGTTTGCACCATGAGCTGTATTTTCGGTATACATAATAGCGCCCGGTTGAGAATCTGACATACGAACAGTGTTAGCAATCTTATGAGCGGACATAGTTTTCCAATCGACAAGTCGATCATTCCACGCCATTTTGGCACGAAAAGATCCCTTGACATCCGGTTGATCATAATCTAATGGTCTCGGTGGTATTTCAAGACGGAATTGGTCAACAGCTTGTAATAAAGCTCGTACAGCAGCTTGAACAATTTCATTTTGATATAAGCTCGATTTGGTAGCTTGTCGCTTTATTGGGAATGTAGCTGTACTTGAAACATCACCAGCATCTATTTCGTCGGCCGCTTGTAATACAGTTACTCCCCATTCCGGCAATTGATCATGTAATGCCCAATCGATTGAGTGTATCCCACGATCGCCAACAATGCCGGGATGAACAATCCAGCAAGGTGTGGATCGAGCAGATGGTTCATCATATAACTGTGGTGGTATGCGCTTCGTCAAAAATGGGCAAATGATAATATCGGGATTTTCACGTTCAGCGCATTCTATCATCGTATCTGGACTTGGATTTTCAACAATTTCGACACGATGGCCACGAGTGGTTAATTCAAGGTAAGCACGTTGAGTTAATGAATTATTGGAATTGCAGAAAAACAAGATATTATAACGATCGTGAACCTCTTCACCTATAACAGCTGATTCTGCAGTTTTTCTTGCAGTGACGGCCAGTTGATGGATTGGAGCAGCTGCTTGATGATGAATAACTCGTCGCAATAAGGACGTAGTTGATGAAAATTGGCGTTTACATAACTGATGTAGCTGACTTTTCAACATTATGAAATAATATTCTGGATTAGGCGTATTTAGAAAATGACTTCAAGGATCGTTGATTGATTATCCTAATTGTATGAATTGAATAAAAAATGACAATTACTTCCGGTAAACGTTATTTCTGTAATTGATTTGACAGATTTTATGCTATTGCGTATGTATATATATTTTGATTTGGGTAAAATAAAATGGAGATTTGGCTAAATAAAATGAAGTAATACAATCTGCTAAACTAGATCGAAAGACAATTAAATTATTGACTTGGTGTGTCTTAATTTATATTAAAAACTCGGCAATTCAATTTTTGATGCCAATTTATAGTTAATGACAACAGTACAACTCCTACTCTATGATTTCTTCGACAAGTGGGTAGTTAGTGTAGCCTTAGAATAAATTATAGGTTATTTTGAAGAGACTAAATATTTAATATTGGTCATATTGATAGGCCACAGAAATATGCGGAATAATTTATATCACTTGTATTATCATGTTAATTGGGCTAGTTAATGTGTTTAGACGATCACCATAACATTGAACTTTGAACTTTATTACTAGAGCTTATTAAATGGCAATTAATTATTTAATTAACTTAAAAACATAGTTTACTATCTAATGATATACTGTAATTACTATTTAGACGAATAAAATAAAATCTAGGTTAATTTTTCAGCTTTTACATGCAACTTTCGCGTGTAACGGAGAAAAATTAGATCTGTGTCCAATTGCACAGTAATTAACCCTTGACCTCATTTCTGAAACATGAATTGTGATTAAGACAGAAAGTTTAAGATTTGCTCCCCACATGTTGCTCAAATATAGCAATACCATTATTAAAGTACAGTTTAAGTACGATATCAATTACAAATTGAGGTGTAAAGTAGCAGGAATAAAAGGAAATAAAATGAACTTTCCGTCCAATCGGATATCATTTCAATTTACGGAGAGAATTATTGATATCGTTAATGTTGATTAATTCTTCGTATATTGGAAGTCTTTCCATAGAAAATATTATCAACATATCGACTATTAAATTTAGCTATTCTTATTTTAATATCGGGACGTTATTTTCTCTATATCTTCAGTGAACAATGTCATGAATTCGACTCAATATCTAGGACATTATATAAATTGATCAGATGGAATGTCTAATTCAACGATATTAACACATTGTTTGAAATTTATTTACATTTAAGGACAGTAACTTAAATTGGCAATTTTGATAGCGATAGCCTGCAATTTTTGCTTGTAAAGCATTAATACGGAATGATCATAACTTGACCTAAGGTTACCTTTAGAACAATGAGGGTTAAAAAGTAATGGAAGAAATGGTTACACCCAAGCCAAAAAGAATTCTTATTTAAGCGTTATTCGCGAATCCTTTTTCAAATAATGACTAAACAAGAAGCTAAAGCTGATCACGTGTGGTTAATTCCGTTGTTGTATGGTTATATCGGTTATAATAGTCTTTTTAAGTAAATAAGAATATAAACTAAAGCTAATCATTTTCTCTCAATCTTATTCTTGTTTCAAGTTGGTTAGACTAAATCCTTTTAAATAACTGATGAACATAAGCGAAATTAAATCGAATGTCCTTTAACATCGAAACAGTACGCGCATATCTAATAAATACGGGTTTAGCATTCTCCCAATTTTTACATCAGCTGCAAAAAGTTCTAGTTCAACTAACTTATATAAGCACAGGCTTTACTGAAGGAAAATTACTTAAAAATATTTCAATTAAATGCTCTAGTTGTATATAATGAGATTATTGAATAAATCTGGAGTTAAGCTTATCTGAGTATAAAAGAAATTAAAATATTTCGCTATTATGATTCTAATCAACGAAATAAAAACCCAATCAATTATTTGTTCTGTTATCACACTCGTTTATTATCCAGCTACGGTAATTTAATGAGTACTATTAACTTGTCCTGTTCGTTATTATTTAGCAATAGCAGTCTAATTAGTAATATTCAATTTAATACGACAAAAGAGCACGAATACATGATGACATTGGCTAGATTATCATAAAAGATAATAGATAAAGAAATTATGGGTACAAGACGATAGTATAATTGTTAGGAAGTTAATTCAGTTTCATTAAAAAGTAACTTTATCGTCCTATTGTACTCTTTATAACTGATTTTAACATCGACGAGAGTTAGGACAAAAATTTTATTTCTTGAAAGATTATAATTGTCTACGATTTCCTGCATGAAAGTTAATACTCAAATTTTATCCTCTTGACCTGAGGAGAAAAATCTATATATAATGTCGAATGGTAATACTATCTGTTAATTATTAACTAATGGGTACATTATCGTAAACCGTCAGCAAAGCGACGGGAGTTTGGACTAGTTTCAATAAAATGGATCTTTTGCAGTCCATAAGTTGAGAGTTCATGTTCCATTGTAGACTTTTACATGTCAAGGTCAAATAGAATTAGCCCCTTAAGTGTTTTCGAGAGAGGATTATAAGGTGCACCTATAATCATTCCCCTTAAGTAATCTAGAGTTAGCGTAGCGAATTTTTGCTGCACCGATCACACTTTATGTTCAATTAGGATGTTTAGATATTCAAATGATTACTTAATAAAGACATTCAATTCATAATAATTTCTAGTATTTAGGGTTATGATAATATTATCCCACCATAGGCTCTACCAATAGATATGCGTTTTTTTTAAAATAGATATCTTATATGGTTATTATCTATCAGATCAATCACTGGTTAATGACCTTCTCTAGCATGCTGCAATATTCGGTTCCTATAGCCTTGCAGCATATAATAAAGTGCTAACGCCAGCTATCTAAGACTGCGCAAATAATCAAATCATTAAATTAACAGATACATAGTGGTTTGTGACATAGTCGATCTTGTTGCAGACTTTTTTAAAACGGATATTCAAATAATTATGTAGCGAATGCATAGGTACCATGCTTAATGCAACGCTATTTTTATGGTATATGATGCTATCTTACTATAGTCTTGCTACAGACACTAATTCCATCTTTCGGCTACAGCAGGAATGCTAACTATCTGATAGCACTCCTTGATATATTAAGCCAATAGCGGAAATAGTGCAAAATGCCCGCAAGATTGGTTTTACTGTCAGTAAGACAATACTAGGTCAATATGCTTGGCTAAAATCCGCAAAAAAATCAAAACAACGAGCTAGCTTATACTCATACGAAATCGATCATGATTTGGCTCCATTCCAGCTTACTACGCAAATCGATAACGCTATTTTAGACATCCTCTTACATTTAAGAAAGTTGATAAAAGTTAAAACTTCTTCAGCAATTTCACTTGTTTACTAATCTTAATAATTGGAAATAAAGCTATAAATCACCAGCCAGACTCGTTGGAAAAGCTGATCAACTATCTGTTCCATGAGTAAAGTTGAACCAAATTTTCTATTTTAATTCATCTTACCTAACACTGAGGAAGGATAACGGAACTTTTAGGCTCGTTGTTGGTTCCAAAGCAAGTAAAGAATGATCGTAAAGCTATAATTAGAATGTTTATATAGGTGCTAATCAGTCTCAGCTATTGCTAGTCTGATTAAACAATTGTGGTAATAGTTTTCAATATCAATGACGCTTGCTAAATTTTAGGCGGTACGGTAGTTTTTAGGAGAAAAGCTCTTAATCTAAAATAATTTCACAAAAGTCATATTGAAAAGATAACTTTTTCCACTTGCATGGAGGATAATGAGCATAGTTAAGACTCTCATTATTTCTTACTTGTTTGACTATTAATCTTCCTACATAATCCCGCCTAGAACATGTTGCATTGTTTCCTTTTATTGAACAGAATGTTCTTCAATCAATAATCAAATAGAAAAGAATTGCCTATATGGTAGATAAGCTAACTCCAAAGTGTTGATAGCCTCCCCCTCTAATGTCACTCAAAAGAAAATTGATCCATCAATCAATCTGTCAATTCGTCAGGTACAAAGTTCAAGGAAGGGAATCATGGACGTGATTGGGAATGGTTGAACTCAAAATTATCTACGAACGGATTATGATTAATAAATATTATTTTAGATTTAAAAGATCAATCGTCGCCCTGGCACTGACACCGATGTCGCCATAAAGGATCATAAAGTCAATAAATTACAAGAAAATTAAATAACATCAAAGTACAGCGATGTCGTAGATTGTACTTTAAACTATCTGAAATTGGTATTAAATTTCCGTTGACCTGGATCGAATGATATTTTACATTGGTAAATATCTAATTTTAAATGAATCACTAAACCTTAAACGATTTACTAAATAGAAATTAATTACCCTTATTGACTCCTTTACTTTGACGACTACTTATCGATTATTGAAACATCTACAATTCTCATCACTTTCAATATTGCCGCAATTACCTTTACCAATTGGCTAGGTGATTGATTAAAATTTTTAATGTAGATTACTGCCACTTATCATACGAATTAGCCAAAGCATTTGTGGAATTCTTTAAATTAAACACTGCTAAGAAAACAAAGCATGTTATAACGTTGTTAGCGTAAGATTTTTAGCAAAGATTGGCGATGCGGGACTTGAAAGACAATATTAAAAAAGGATTAAATCAAAAATTTGGAATGATGGAATGCCATTGGCGATTGATTTGACGGAACAAAATAGGTGAATCTCACTACAAGAGTTATTCACAATCTCATTGAAACTTTTAGCGAGTTGAAAGTTAGTTTAAAGTCCTGCACTTGCCAAGCACTATTCAGAAAAATGAACTTAAAATTTATCCAAAATGTGTACTAGAAAATGGGTGATTATATTTCAAAAATGATTATTTATGCATTTATTCAAGGTACAGTAATTACGATTCGCAGTTTATTCAAGCTTTGAGAGTGTAAGTTGCAAGAATTCAGTAGAAACAGAATGATTGCGCTCAAAGATAGAGTAAAGAATTATCGTTTCATTAAAACAAGAGCGACCTAATAGCTATTTTAAAGGCCTATTGTACTTCCAAAGGTCATTCAGAAATGACTA